GTATAAACCATCCCCAAGTGGTAGGTTTATTATTGGGTTTCCCACATTAGTTATTGTTCACATGCAAGTGGTTGACATGAGTTTGTCTGAAAATGTGTGGTATCCCAAATTTTCATGGTTTATCCATGCATCATCATGTTCCCTCAAATTTGGGGATTCATGATTCATTGGATAAATCACTATATGTTTGATGGCTAAAAGGTTACATCATATTACATCCGTATATTTGCTGATTAAGTGATTAACCACCATTTTTTGGTTGGCATTGTTTGGCCATCAAGAGTCGTTAAAAATGTGACGTCGTCACAGCTTCTGAAAAACTGAAGCGTTCTGTTGTCGTAGCGTTAGGCGCCGCTTCTGCTGCAACGTGATTTTTGAACTTGGTCAAATCAATGGGGGAATACTAGGAGTATAACTGGTTGGTGGTTTGGAATATAGTGGGGAATACCGTAGTTGTTGGTTATTCATGGTTATTATATGATGTTATGTTATTATTACTGTATGTGTTTCACAAAATCCCTGTATGGTGGTTTGGAACATTGCTTTGATTTTCCATTTCATATATGGGATATCATCCTTCCCATTGACAAACTCATATTTTTCAAGATGATTGAAACCACCAACCAGATGTGGATTTATTCAGATAAATGGGGAAACCAAGATTCTTCAGATGGAAATGGGATGATTAATTTGGGAACTCCAGAGTACGCCATGCTTGATTACCAGAGGGCATGTTCTCAATGTGCCGATTTTTTGGTGATGCCTCAGCATGCTGGCTAAAATAGCATCCGCAAGGATCCGAGCTTACAAAGGGCAGCCCTGAAGCCGAGCTTTAGAGTGACTTGACGGAAATCGTTCGAAACATGAAGTCATCTTTGATTACCCTCTGGTTATTTAACATAGCCATGGAAAATGACCCATTTATAGATGGTTTACCTATTAAAAATGGTGATTTTCCATGGCTATGTTAAATAACCAGATGGTATACTATATTTTGCAGTAGATTTACAGAAGACAACAAGATCAACAAGGGTTTGAATACAGTGAACACATTATTTACTACTAAGTTGGCTATTTGGCATGTTCATTCCAGACTTGCTACACCAGAAGTTGCAGGGAGCCAACTGAGTTTCCCTGGGCCTGCTGGACTCGGGCAGATAGTTCAAGTATCAAGTTAATATATATATATATATATTGCAATATACGCCTATATGATTGCAAGTTTGTTATGGCTCACTCTGAAAAATGGTTGTACTCTATCGTTGTAAACACAGAGCTTACATTCAAAGGGAGACACCGTGACCCAAGGCATTGCACAGAACTTGAATGAAAAAGCGGCCTGTTTCACAAGCTCCATGGTTTCCCCCCAATGTTTCAGGCCATTTGGTTCTGGACATGACTTAGTGAAGCTGCCTCTTTTTGGGATATGATTGGAACATATCGAAAGGAACATCTTGAAGGACGTTCTTGCGGCCCTGCCATCCACGGTTTTCGCCTCACATGGCCGCGCCGCGTCGTGCCATGGAAAATTGATGAGGAGGCCGTAGCTGCTACATGACGCACTCGGAGCAGAGGCGGGAATGGTGAGGAGGTAAGTCCAGGTTGGCTTGGCACTTGCGACATCTTGCGACCTGGGCAACAGGATTGGATATCCTCAGTTGTATGAATATCATCTATGGTCTATTAACATCTACAAACATCTATAAACGTCTATATATAGTCTATATACGTCTGTAAACGTCTACAAACATCTATAAAAACATCTACATAAACATCATTCAACATCTATAATCATCTATAAACTAAACATCTATAAATTGTTTTCTAACCATTTGGACCCCTCCCCCAGAATGGACGATTGGATCTGCCGCATGTGCAGGGGTGCTTGGTACAAGGAGGGCTGCATAGGCACCTTGGATCTGGGTTAGAATGATAAGAGGGAACTACACCTGAAATCATTCAATGACATAACCATCAATGATATTAAGAATGATCAATATATATATATATGTAGTAATGGAATGGAATGGAATGGAATGGAATGGAATGGAATGGAATGGAATGGAATGGAATGGAATGGAATGGAATGTATGTCTGTACAATATTATTATATGATATAAGGTTGATTTATTTGATATTTAATGTGTACCCTTTGGTTGTTTAACAGTTTGCTATATAAAATCACCATTAGCATCATAGGTACATCATTGAACTAGAAGGGTCATTTATACCATAGCAATCAATAGCAAACTGTTAAATAACTAGAGTAACTAGAGTCTATCTGAGTTATTCTTGATATCATTGATGGTTTTGTCAACTAGAGTCTCTAGAGCAATCAGGCAGGAGTCCCTTGACCAAGTCAAGTTGAAGTCAAAGCAGGCCTGCAGGCCACAGTCATCAGTGAGTTCACCATGACTTGTTCATGTGGACAAACCTGAAATATTCCTAGCATCTCAACGGAAGGTTGAGCATCTGATATTGAAATCCTTTGGTTTGTCTGAACATGGGATACCCAAACATCATCCCCATCCCCAATGTTTATCATCATGTTTCCAATTGAAGTCGTCATTTTGGGGTATGCCCCATTTCTAGACAGGCGCAGTCGTCAGATTGTTAGTTACAGTATATCCCGTGAGGAACTTATCCCAAAAAAATGTGAGTTGTATCTCATCAATATCCCATTCATATCCCCTACCAAAATGCTCTCCCGACATGCCATGCTGGTACGTAATCTCTATCCCTTCTCCCGCTTTGACTAAACATCCCCCATAAACCATGGTGGGATGTAGGGAAGAAAAAAAACCTACAGGATGGGGCCCTCCAGTTCTAAGTTAGTTTATAACCCCATCCACATGTAGTTATAAGATGGTATAAGTATCATGCACTATGGTTATTATAGTTATATATAAACCAACTGAACGCTAACGAACTGGGGCCCCAGCCGTGCCGCGCAGCTTTTGGTACTGGCATCCTCTATGGTGCCACCAATGCTTTGGTGGGCCATCCTATGGATACCGTGAAGGCGAGGCCATGTTGATGTTGAAGCTGCCGTGGGATGGATGACCAAAAGAAGTCATATATAAATGATGTAAACATATATATATATACATAGCGAACTGGAAAATCACCATGTTTGATAGGTAAATCAACTATTTCTATGGCCATTTTCCATAGTTACCTTAAATTACCAGAGGGTATATACATATATACATACATATTTAACCACTATTAACCACTATTAACCACTATTAACCATGAACATGTTTTGACCTAACATGGTCCTTCATAGATTTGGGGACATGGACCATATCGCCCAATGCCCTCCTTGGGATGATCCATGCCCGTACCATGCCCGCGCTTTGAAGCTCCACGCTTAGGGAGTTCCTAGCTGTGTAGATAGTGGAATATATGGATTTGATTTATAACTAATATGGAATATATATGGAATATATATATATATGGGATATATATATATATATGGGATATATATATATATATGGGATATATATATATATATATATATGGGATATATATATGGATGAATAGCTATAGATGATTTGATTGATTAACGGTGATTTCCCATAGCTATGTGAAAAAAAAACCGGAGAGTATCATGAAACCTGCAATTTCTCCATGGCTCTGCCGCGCAAAGGCAAAGATGCAAGCTCAGGCCCTGCTGATCTGTTTCGGGTACCTGGATGCGTATTGTGAAGTTGGCATTTTTTCGGATTGTTCTCAAAGTTTCTATCATTTACCCTCTGGTAATTTAACAAAGCTATTGAACATGGCCCATTTATAGTTGATTTATATACCTATTAAAGATGGTGATTTTCCAGTTCGCTACGTTAGTTTACCAGAGGGTACTTCGGTGTGTTTTTCCGAAAATGATGCCGGAACTGCCCAAAGGGATCCTATCAGACCCCCGGTTCCAATGGCTGTTTCGCAGCGCAGGTGGGGTTCATTTCTGGCCAGGACTGGGTGGAAATGGTGGCGGGGTTGCCATAGCAACCTCATCGGCTGGATTTGGAGCATTGAAAAATGGTTTTTCCATGAACTTTGGGTGACTGTTCATGAGTACAGGATACGAGCTTTGTATCATTCTGCTGCTCTTGCTGTGACTTGTATCTTCAACACGAATGCTGCTGGCTTGAGCAGCGCCATGAACTCAGCACAGCCAAAACAGTTGAAGTCAAGTTGTAGAAAAGCCTTTGGTTTTCCAGAATCCCATTAAAAATCCCATTAACATCCCATCAGCATCCCATATTCCTGAGGTTTTCCAAGACTCTACAACTGGACAAAGTACAGCAAAAAGGAAATGCTGTGACTCAACGTGCGAGCTGCAACTGGCTGTCCAAACCGGCGGAACTGACTGTCTTGTTTCCAACCTTAAGGCAGAAGTCTGAGTCCTGTACGACTTATGATATTATGTGGTTTCCTTGTTGACATTTTATTGTAATCATTGTAATCAACAAAATATCAGAGGCAATAGAGGATATCAACATATAAATCAACAGACGTTCAAAGGCAATCACTGTGCCAGTTGGGCAGTTCCATCGACGGTTGCCATGTGGCCGAAGATTCCATCGCTCTGTGGCCTCCCTTCCTGGTGCGATGAGCGCTTCCATGGTCGAAAGCGAAGAAAGCGAGACGGTGATACGCCTCAATGTGGGCGGTCATCAGAATCTTGATGAAACCATGATGAAACCATGAATCGTGGAGGGGGTCTGTGGTCGAGATGGTCGAGATGAGACTTCATCTGTATCTATGTGATGTCTATGTCATTCTATGTCTATAGATCTGCTATAAGTCTATAAGTTGCTTCCTTTATTTTTCATGAACTTGGTTTCATATACCCCATTTTCAGTGTAAATTTCACCATCAAGCTAATTACCCCAAGATTTGGAGAGTTTTTATGTAGCGTTAAAAACAAAGAACGGCACAAGTGTCACGAAAGCGTCAGGTATACCACTGCGCTTTCAACATTGACAGGCACGGATGGCATGCTGGCCACCATGGTGACTCGGGACGCAAGTGCTTAAGCTACTGGAATCACTGGAAGATGTCATTCATCTTGTTGATTTATCATCATATATTTCATGGAAGGCAATGGAAGGCTTGAGTTTTTCAGACTTTCATAGACTTTCCGAACTCCGGGTTTGCGCTAAGTTTAATGGATCTTTTAGCTCCACCAAAGTGGATGGAGCCTATTTTATTGACCGTGACGGTCAGCTCTTTCGATACGTCCTGGAGCCCGGGATGGGGAGTGTCGAGTGGATCGCAGTGACTGTTGGGCCATGATGGAAAGGTCTCATGTTGTCATTGGAATGGATAGGAATGGGGGTTGCTGGGATGATTATTGATAGATATTGATAGTTATTGTGGATCATTCCCGAAAATTCCATGCGTTTAGCACCAGTAAGTAAATTTCCATGAAAATCCCATTGAAATCCCATTAACATCCCATTAACATCCCATATTTCATCAAATTTCCAGTAAGTTTTTGGATCTTTTTGGATGTTTTTTCACAGCGTTCTGCAGGAGTTCCTGCGAAATCAGACAGTGCAACTACCAGAGTCTGTACCAGTGGGGGACCACAGGGGCCCCAAAGATTGAATGGTTGAGGACAGGGTGAGGCACCCCGGGGCACCCCGGTTATGTTTGTTGGTTTATAAACCCCATGAATCCCCATGATATGATTAAGTACTGCAAGTGATATATATTGATATATAATATCACCTACAATTAAAGCCCATAGTTAACCAAGCTATCAGTCAACTTAGCTATCGTTGTAGGAAACTTGCTTCGTATGAACTTTTGATTGAGCCATAGCCACCAAAGATCCGGAACATCAGTGAACCATCGTGGAGCTATACACCTCAAACCCGAGGTGCTGGACTTGTTTTTTAACCAAACACCAGGGGAAGAGCAGAAGATTTCAGGGTGAAAAGACCGAATTTACCCAGACTCATTTACCCTCTGGCAATCAAAAGTGGCAATTGAAAATCCCCTATTTATAGATGACTTTCCCATTGAAAGATCCATTCATCATTTATATCTAGGCGATTGTCCATTGCCCAAGAGTGGGATGATCTAATCCCAATTGACAGTGTCTGGTCGACTCCATATCTTTGCGGATGGCTCAAACTACTGTCCACATATGTCCAGATTGTTGTTCATTGTTTCGTGACCCAAAACCCTGCTGGGGTAGATCTCCTATTTTTTAATTTATCCATAAAAGTGACCCTGCCTTTTTTTTGGTTTGGACAAGTCCAAAAGTAGGGCATATTCAAAATCCCATGGCTCAAAACAAAACCATATTCTCCCCATGGCTCAAGTAGCCAGAAATCCGCATGTGTGGACAAACCTAAATAGTGTTCTTCTGTCTCCCATCATATACCTATAAAATGGTTGATATAAACTTGCAATCATACTTACTAGTACATCCATGCAGAATACCATACCTTTGTAGTGCAGTAAACCCAATGCCATTCACCTGTGGTGGTGCTTTCTTTCAAACATGTTTCTGGTAAATATGGGGAGGGTAGACCCAATAATCAAGAAGCCCCACTTATATCCCCAATGATGGTTATATAAATCTTTCAAGATCCACAATAATGTGGTTGTGAACGGATATTATAAAATATCAACCACAACAGTGATAGATAGTTATGATTTTGGGTTCACCACAGCAATATAGACCTAGACATAACCCTCTTGGTATAGCAGCTAATGTGGTAATTACGGTAAACCCAATAATAAGTATCCCATTTTTGATGATTACTATCCAAGCATTTCTGGTTTCATATTAGGGATGGTTCATGGCTTTGGGTTGACAGAGTTTTCCTGGAATCAGATGATTGGGAAAATCAGCAGGAAAAGCCAAGCAGTTCCCGGTTCAGAACTTCCCGGTGAACCAATCCCTATAAGGTGTACCAGATAACCCAGATACTGAATTTGACGCTATACCCAACCATAAAGTCTGCCAGATTTATTCTTGGGGATTCTTCGATCCTGTGGTTGTACAACTATCCCACTATATCCCCATCAAAAACACTCATTAATCGGCACTAAATCCTCATGAATCCTCGACTTGAAAGTGCAGTTCCCGTTGTAAGTGGATATGTAAGGATACTGAAAAAGGGGCCCCATATCCCAACTAAAAAAGGGCTTAAAATCACCATGCTTATAGCCACAAGAGTAACCTCAACCGCACCCGCCGCAGCCCAAATAGAATCAATGGCCATTTCAGGAACCGATTGATTGGAGGTACCTACCATATATAAGGCCTACGTAGGTAAATTTCAGCTGAGATACCCCAATTTTGGGTCCTGAAAATCCCATTGATACTATCCATCATGATCCATATGGAAAAACATATATTCCTATCTATTAACATATGTTATAACCATAGGTGGATGTTTTTTTCAATGTCAAATCCGGCAAGTCCCATAGGACCATAGGTGGATGTTTTTGAGAAAAAATCCATCTGGCTTAAGTCCCTCCTTTTCTGTCAGGTTCTTCGCCAGATCCAGCAGGAGGCAGAGTTCTTCGCCTTGGAAAATCTTCTGAAGGCCGTGTCCCGAAAGATCTCCGAGCGACGGATCCGGGTGGAGATCTACGTGGAGCGCTTTCGGTGCCGGAAACGCTTGGAGTTCCGGAAACGATGTCGTGGGGATATCATGGAGATTTGATGATTGGTATGTAATATTTGAAAATTATTGATACAATTAGATTGTATTATATATAATATAATATTACATAATTATATATATATAATATAATATTACATATATAGATATATACATTATATTATATATATATACATATACACTATTCACACATGTGCATAAATATATATATATATAGTAGACGTAAAAAACCAACAATTGGAATAATAGGATTTTTGGATGTGTCTCAACATGGGAATTCACCACCCTTAAAAAAGTTCATGTTTTAGGGAAAAAAATGCTAAAGCAGTGGATTTGGGGGTATCTTGTCGACAGGCCAGTTTATCCACATCCAACAAGCAGGGGAAGGGTTGAATTTGGGCGAGGTGTGTATGTGTGTGTGGGGTTTACTTTTATCATGGACGATATCTCATATCCCATACCCCAAATCATAGAATAATTGGATTGCTTTGTGGGAAATTTTGCTGGAAACCCCTCTATTTGGTGGAACACCCATAGTTTCCTGTAGATTTTCCCTTTAACAATCTTTCGCCAACCCATTGATTAAAAAGAAACACCCTGGAGGTGCTCCGACGAAGGTTGCAATTGCGGTGCTGGCCAGAAGGCGTTGCGAGTGGGAAGTGCCACAAAATGCCAATAATCAGTGGCCGTTTCAAGTACCTAAATTGGAGGTGCTCTACCATAGTTGTTTTTGTTTTTCGGTAATTTAACATAGCAATGGAAAATTACCCATTTAATTACTGTAGTTCCAGGGTTTACCTACCAAACATGGTGGTTTTCCATAGCAAACTCTTAAATTGCTAGAGTGTAAAGCCGTATTTTTGCAAACATCCCCTTACATCTACCTTTCATAATCACGTTACATATGGTAAGTACCTCCAGCTTAGGTACCTGAAAGGTCTCAGCCAGGGATTGAACCACCAGTTTGTTACTCATTATGACTTAATGACATATTTTATATTTATTACTATTATTATATTTATTATTATATATTATTATTGTTTTTATTGTTCTTATTGTTATTATTATTGCTATTATTATTGTTATTATATATATATATTATGCATATAGTGACAATTCTATGGTGCAAAATCTGGGGATATTGATGACTGGTAGATTTTTTACATGACCAGGTCGAGGTAAGCGCCCTGGAGGGCCTGGCCTTTTTCGATTGTGAGCATCTTTGGCTGTGACTGACTGATGTGTGGTCTGGTATTGTTGAGCAATTTAACGGGATTTTATGGTGGTTTAATGGGATTTTATGGTGGTTTAATGGGATTATATGGTGGTTTAATGGGATTTTATGGTGGTTTAATGGGATTTTATGGTGATTCAATGGGATTTTGTGGTGGTTTAATGGGATCTAATGGGATGTACCCTCTGGTAAACATACAAAAAGATATTGAAAATCACCACGTTAATAGCTAAATCATATTTTTATATTTAAATCCATATGCCATATATATTATAATATATATATATATATATATTATATATATATTATATATTATATATATATATTACTCAAGCTAATGGAGTTATTTTAAACCAACAAACACATGCTGCAGTGAGTCAGTGCCCGTGGTCCCCCAGCACCGAGGCTGTTTCATCCCCGGCGGGAGCTGCGCCCCAACTGGACGACGCCCAGCGCGTCCCTTCTGGTGTCGCTATTTCCAGAGGACCAGAAAGGTCGAATTTTGAATTTTGGGGATAGATAGAGATATATATTATATATACATCAATATATATATATATATATATGATGTGTATATATATATATAGGGGTTCATAATATGTTCCTATTTCGGATGTAGGGGTTCATAATTGGGACACAATACACACCTATATATCCCAAAACTCGCAACCTATTTTGGGGTTAAAAGTATTTAAAAGTTAAAATATAGCTTTTATTATTGGGATGTACCCAATTTGGCCAATTTTAATCCTTTCATATGTCTTTTTTGCCAACCAACCAGCCCCCATTGTTGTCCATGACTCGACCAGGAGAGCTTGGAAGCAGCGGTTTGTGCAGTGCACCACGCCATCCTTTGCGCTGATGAGGTCGGTGGGCAAAGCGCCAAAGAGATCGTCTTGGAGGAGGGCCATAGATCTCATGGATTTGTTCATAGAAATATCTACCTTAGTTGGATAATGATATTATATTATACGTATATATACACATATTACTATTTGATATGTCTATTTCTGGTGAATGTTCCTGGAAACTATGATAATCTGTCAAATTTTGTGGTGTATCCCGAAAGTAATTATCCAAATGATTCCACATGATATTCAAGTATTATATATCACATTTGGATGAAAAAAATCATGACCTCACCTCGTGACGTCACTGGAATGATGATTAGGATTCAGGGAATCATCCTGACTGCTAGGTTCAGGCTAGTGAATGATTATGATTGAGTCAGAATTTTTCGTCATGGATGTCAATTGAGCAGCATCAAAAACCTCCATGGATGGAGTTTGTCTTCGGGTTCATGTGTGGAACCCCCGCGGTTCAAAAACCTCCACGCGCGCTTTCGCTCCGCATTGCGGAGTGCGCCAAGGTCGAGCCGCGAAAGTAGCGGCGATTTCGCAGGTAGATAGCAGACATGTTTTCAAATATTCATGTGTACTGTGTACCATCATTTTACGTTTTTTTTCCCGCGAAAGCAACTGCGAAAGATTTACGAAACAAATGTCGCAGCGAAAGCAAAAACTACCCGGTTTTCGACGATGGCTAGCTGGGAAATCCCCGAACTGAATGGAGGTTTGAATGAGACAATTCGCGGATTTTCCAATGCTGTGGTTGATTACTGGAGGGTATCAATCATATTTATTTCATATTTGCTGTATCCAAATTATCCTCCAGTAAACTAACATAGCTACTAGTATAGAAAATAACAATGTTCAATAGATTTGGAGGGTCCTTCTGGTTTCTACTTTAAGATCTCCAAATTCTTTGAAAATCATCCTACTGCATTGCCATTTGCCATTCCAGGAAGGATCACCTGTGCGCCGGGCCTTAAGTGATCTGGTTTCTTCACCAGAGCTGTGCTATTTGCAATGGTATGCTCGAGCAGATGAATACAAGGTGCTGCTTGCTGCAGATCTGAACGAAAAAGAAGAAACACATGGAAAAACACTGAAAGCAGCGAAAGTTGAGATACTTCGATCAGGTTGAACCGAAATGAGGTTTGTTTTGTTCTATGATTTGCAGGCGTCCAGTAGGATGTGACAGGTACTTCATTCAGTCGTTATTCCTCAATTTTTGCCAGGATAGATGAGTCCAGATTAACATGAAAGCCCCTAGTTGTTCTGTCTCTTCATGCAGAACAAAATGGGATCCAAATCAAAAGGATGTTTGATTGAGCCCTCCCGCTTCCGGTATTGTGGGATTCGCTAACGTTCAAGTTTGTGCCTTGCAAAAAGGGACACAAGCAAGTCATGAGTCATTGGTTTTTTTTGGTGGAGTGATGGACAGTATGATTGCATGAGGTGTGTTTGCTTTTCTTATCTTTTCTTGCGTTTGCTTCTCTATATGTTGGATGAGAAAAGAGAAGACATCTCGAACTATCCATTGTGGCCCCTGTTTCTATGTGCTTTCCAAACAACTTCATGATTCCCTTGCGCAGATGCCCTCCAGGCAATGTCTAGGCCATTCTCCATCTTACAACTGATACTGTAGCAGTTTGATGCATGTTTGATCATTTTTGACACCACAGCTCGAGCAAGCAGAATCTGCCCTTTTGTCGTTTAAAACCATTCGCATGAGCTTGATCAGCTTGATGTTTCTGTTGTTTCTGAGTCACAAATGTTTATATATATAGTATAATATATATATATCATTTTAGATCCGGCTAGCTGTTAGAATCATTTGGACACTCTCCTAGCCACCTCCTTGAAATGAATTTTGAAGGTCGGTGACACGCGTGACCCCAACATGCAGTACGTGACTTTGCTGCATTGCAAACCGGACTGACAATTTACATTTGGGGGTTTCCATAAATGAGGTTACCCCAAAATGGACGGTTTTTAATGGAAAATCCTATAGGGGTAACCCCCATTTAGGAAATATCCATTTGATGATGATTGTGTTGTGAATAATTAAAGATGCCAGGTTTTTGCGATGAGAGGATTTTTGGCATGTGATGCCATTTCTTGAGAAAAAAACGTGAATAAGCTGAGGTGCACTATGCCAAATGCGTCAAGCTGACGTTTCAAGTTCAGCAAATTGGTGTAGCGCCACACGCTTTCTTGTCTGTGTAGCAGCTCCGCAAAAAGAGTGCAGCGTACCGGAGATGATGCGAACATCTGGCTGACTGATCCGCTCCAGCAGGACGTGGGTATGTTGGGCGTTTGCCGGAAGGCGCAGCGGTTGTGTCACCGGACGCACTGCACCAGATGCTTGATGGGTGGAGTATTTCATTGACTGGGTACTGTATACTAAAGTGGATAGATTGAATAGTACTCGCTGAAGCCGCCTCAAGCAAGTTGGCATTGGATTTCACTTTGGTTTGTCTGAAACTTTGAAGGGGAAAAAAGCACAATGGACTGGTTAATCAGCATGTTCCCCCATTATTCCCATGTTTCAAACACACCCATTTACACTTGATTTAAGACCGAAGTTGGACCGAAGTTCCGTCAGAGGTTTGGCGCACGGAAGGGGTGCGTGGATTTTTCCGCGGAGTGCGCGTGGATTTTTCGCTTACGCGTTCCGCCTGATGTTTGTGGCATGATGATCAGGGGTCAGCTACCAGATCTACCAACTGTAGTGTTAGTAATCTCAATGGTGGTTTCCATAGTCATGGGGGTATCCCAATAGCTGGATGGTTTATTTCATGGAAAATCCCCATCTACATTGGATGATGAACAATTTTTCGGGGGACCCCCATGACTTAGGAAACCTCCCAATGCCTCCCAACCATCCCATTGATGGATAGAGGTACTGCCACCTTTGCTTGGCAGTTCCGTCGGCATCAGAGGGCTGCGGCCGGGAATGGGGGTTATGATTGCGCCATGTTCAGCATTGACTGGGCCATCAACTTGAAGCGGTACTGTACAGCAAGGGCACCATAGTTTCCATATGTTTCCACTTAGGCACTTAACTCCTGATGCTCACATTTCCTCCCATGTGCTGAGACTTACTTCACACATCTTCACACAGTGACACTGGTGACACCGCGCTGAGGCTTATCGATCCGCGCAGTTTGCAGTCTTCGAGGCGAGTGTTGCCGCTGCATTGTCTTCATGTCATTGCCAGAACGCAAGTTGTTGAGACTCACAAACCATTGCACAATATATGTCATAGACTAAAATCCTTCCAATCTATAATTGGATGGTCAATACTCATGATCCATAAATATCAATAATGATCTTTCCAATATGTCATATGTTCTCATGCTTGCACAATGTCATATGTTCTCATGCTTGGACAGGCAGTTTATACTCGTCAAAAGGAGCTGGGCTGGGACCAAGCTGGCATCTGAGTCTTCTGAATTGTTGCCACAGATGATCAGATGGACCAGGCACAAACGAGACATGTTCATGATCTTAACGTGATGAATCCCACCATAATATATAATATCATATAATACTATATGATATTATATAAATATAGTATTATATGATATGATATGATATCAATGATATTATATAATATTAATAATAAAACTCATGGGGGCTGGGGGGGTCTATGGGGGGGGGGTCTATGAGCTTATCATATAAGGTACTGGTAAGAGCTGGTTAGTATAAACACTTGTTAGGGCCTTATTAGATTTTTATTAAGGCTGGATAGGATAAGGGCTTATTAAGGCCATATTAAGGGATTATCATTTAAGGGCTTATTAAGATCTTACTCCCCATGGATAGCTGAACTTCCTTATCCAGTGCTTGTCATAAAAATGATGGATGATGTAAGCCCACATCTGAACAAGGAAGAGGATTGTTTCTGGCCATCTTACCGTGGCGAAGTTTTTGTAGACTTCGCTGAAATCTAGACAATATGAGATCTAACGGTGGGTTTTGGCGATTGTCTTCAGATGTTTCTTGTGGTTTTTGATGATTACGTTTTTTTTTTTTGCGATTTTTTGTGTGATTCGTGTCTCATTTCCGTGACGTTTGATGTTTTTCTGTGATTTTGAGTGGTTTCGCATGGTTTTTGGTTTATATAATGTTTTTTTGAGGATTTGTGTGGATTTGGTGCCCTGAAGGTCATTTTCGGGGGGGGGTCTATGGTCAAATAGGTGCTGTTTCCCTGCTTATCCACTGCTTATCCACCACTTAGGGTTAAGCAGTGGATAAGCCCTTATTAAGCTCTTATTAAGCCCTTATCTCACCCCAATCCAGGTCAAGTGACCCATTTGCGTGCAAATTGCCTGCCTTGGGTGTCGCCTCCCCGCTTTGAGTTTTTCTTTTTTTTTCACTATCTTGAATACATGGGCCATGCGTTTGCTAATAGACTGTCTAACCCTGGAGATTTAAGTTGCATGTTTGTTCTCGCTTGTTTGTTTCTAGCAAACCTTGCCCATGCCACTCGAGCCAAATCCTGGTACCTCTCAATTTTGCAATAAATAACAACAAACCAACCTCTCCAAACATTTCTTGCAGAACAGAGTCATCATTGGCTTATCTCCATAGTTTATCCAGGCTTATCCAGACACCCCCCCCATAGACCCCCCTAGGCTTCCATGAAAAACAATCACAACAGGGGATCATTCTACATCATCCCATTACAAGTGGATACTAGTGGTGATTATACGAAAATTCGTAAACCCCGACTGCGGCTACGTTTACCCACTGGATAGTTGTTGTGGGTTGTTTTTAATTATTGTCATAAACCCTTATAAACCACTATCATTGACTATCATTGTTTCAATATCATCATCCCATCATTCTCCAAGAATTCTTGTCCGAGAACTGAAAGAAACATCTGCAGGACATCCCGACATGTGGAGGTGCAAAGCCAGGTTTCCGGAGAACCATACCAATGAACATGAGATTTCCCGGCTTTGTCTGAAAGTAGGATACATAATTTGATGGTCATGATTTTCCCCCATTTTCGTATTACTTAAAGGCCATGGCTTGAAGGCCATGATCCTCCATTTTACACACGGCATTGGCATTCCTCATTCGTTGTTGATATCGCCACGCCAAGGCTGTTATACCTGGCTCGGGTGGGTTGGCTTTTGCAACGGTGCGCGGCGAACTGCGCGTGGCGGGCAGTGTTCAAATTCTTTGGATTTTCAAATACTGAATCCATCCGAACAATTCTTCCAGAATTGTTCTAGACATAGAATGACATAGCTTTCATGTCTTGGTAGATTCACCAAATCTGTAATTCAAAAATTATCAGATCGTTTCACGTTATGTTTGTTTGACAGAGTACATGCTGTCATGCAACTTTGTAGAAAACACGTGTTTTACACATGATGGCACCCTTGTGGTTTTCCAAAGACGTCGACCAGCTGTTTTTTGGTCGCATTGTTTCCAAACTGTTGAAATACAGGGTGAGTGAGAACCTACCATTTGGGGATGGTTTATAGAATCCATTTATATAGTGATTTCGGGGATGGTTTATGATTGGGTTTACCAGATTTATAGACTTTTGATTGTTTCACGTTTATTGAAGTGTTTCAATGGATCATTAAATTTGTTATATGCTATGTCATGGTGTTTCTTAACATTGGGCTACCCCCCTTTTCACCATTTCCCGATTTTTTTATTCCAACCCTTGGTTTTCCTTATCTAAAACTGACCCATGTTGGGACGACTTAGGGCTTCTCCATGGCTAACCGCTGATGCCCACGGATGTCTCTGGAGGTGTTGGCAGGCATCAGCGGCTCTTCAGCGCGCGCTGTCATTGAGTCCCCCATTGAGTATGCCAAGGACTGTCCACTGGGATCCACTGGGCACTGGCTGAGGGGCCGGCGGTTTTGGCTCTCACGTCTAGAGGTGGTTGAAGGACATTGTCGTGACATAAGTCAAGTACTTCATAGAAGTTGATAGTAAAGTTTTTCTAGTAGATAGTTTTTTTTTTGTGGGATTCATAACTATAAATAACCATCATAACCATAACCAACCATCATAACCATAAATCACAAAAGTTGATAGCGGATAGTAAACCATCATAATCAACATTACTATCATAATTACTATGGTTGATAGTTCACCCATAACCAATATAGATGGTTGATAGTTCACCCAAAGCCATAAACAAATCATAACCAACCATAAACCATCCCACGAGATTTCTTGATGGCGGTCGACAGCGGCAGGTGAAGCGACAAACGGGGCAAAGTTGGCACTTCAATGAGGCAAAAAGCTGCGGAATTTTTTGGAGGTTTCCTAAGTCATGGGGGATCCCCAAAATGCGCAAAATGCTTGGTTTGTAATGGTTTGTAAATGTTTATAATGAAAAAAATCCATAAATGGATGAGAACTGGGGGTACCCGCATTCTAGGAACCCCCCAATATGTATTCTATTGTATTCTGATTATCCAGATATATCTACCATTAGCACTGGTTTTATTGGTGAATTTTGGTATGATGAGGGGAACGGCATGGGTATCGTGGTCAAAATGGAATTGTGGTCGTGACATGTCGTGACCTTTTCATGGGATTTACCTCGTGAAATGTCGGAGGTACCATGTCGGTACCATGTCGAGATGAATGACTCTCCAATCCTTTAACGGTTGAAAAAAATCCATGAGCCACAGCCAAAATGGATGCCTAAAAAGGATTAAAAAGGTGGATGCTCCAGCAATGAAAGGATACGAAAACTCTAGGGACATGTTACGACATGTTCGACAATGTTGCGACATTTCCGAACAGAGTTTTGTTGTATTGCGTGATATTGGATGGTATTTTCAATGTGGTGCATGGACAGATAGGTATCACAGATGGCTTCAAAACAGACACCTGTTTGCCATTGCTTGTGGCATAGTGCATGCGGTCAGGTGTATCAAGGCTTCTTTATGCAGCTCCCTCGCACAGCCGGGGGACCGAAGCTGGGTTCATGGTGTCAAACACACACACACAACATGGCTGTGTTGAAGCTGCATACCACCTATATTCATTGATGTATGGAGAAGAATAGTTGATGGTAGTTGCATATACTTTTTTCATCTTTTTTCTTTGCTGGGGAAAACAAAAATAGTGAGCCCAGGTAGAATCAAAAATTAAAACTTTCTAGCAGGCTACGAGCAATGGTTGAAGAAAGCACGTTCGGATTGTCCCATTCGTCGCAAGGTTGGAATGATGACCTGCATTTTTTGTGGTGTGGACAGTGTGAGACGCTGGACTGATGGTGCGAATCCCAGGATTGCATGCTGAAATGCATGGTGTTGTCTGTTTTAATAGGGAATACCCTCAGTTGTAACAATTTACATAGGGAACATGTATATTTATATATATATATACTACATATATATATATATATATGACAATCTGTTGGAATTGAGGGCATCCTATTTTTTCAGACAAAGCCGCATCATGTTGGTCTTGAGACTGCAACAGGAGTGATGCCCCAGCCGCCAGATAGGGGGTTGGAAAGCAATTAGGAAAACTAGGTGGCTCTAAAAGAGTGCTGATCAGGGTATATGTTATTGGGGGATGGTAACAAGAATCCAATTTTTGATTATAGTTGTTTATATGATTTTATAGATCCCATTAATAATATTAATAGCCCATTGGTATGCTGTTTGTGATATCCGATTAGTATCCCACTAGTATCCCATTAGTATCCAAAATAAAAATTGATGCCCAAATCCGAATGCAACATGAATCTCACAGTGGCATCAGGCGAGGCCTTAAAGCATCCGCAGTGGCAATTCTTGACCTGGGGTGGTGTGGTGCGGCACCGAGGGTTCAAGATGTTCAACCCATGAGACCTGTCGTCATAGTGTTTGTTGATGTTTTTTTCATGCCGTGAGTCCTACATTTCAATTTCGGAATCACCAAAAACAGATGGTTGGAATATGTTGGAATCAATATGAATCAATGACAAAAAGCAAGTGACCAAGTGAAATCTATCAGCTGTGTTGTCTGCAGATTTCTGGTCACGGATTTGCTCCTGAGTCCATGCTGAGCTTTTGGGTCATTTGGCCCTTGGAGACCTTGAAGAATCAGGTGCTGGTGACACAGGTTCAATGTGCGGAACCATACTTCATACGGGTTCGGCTATGTGATGGTTTCCTAAAATATCCTAAAATGGTGGTACCCAATGGTACCCCAAGTTATGGATGGTTTGCACTGGAAAATCCTATTGAAATGGATGATTTGGGATGATTTGGGGTCTCCCATTTAATAGGAACCCTCATGTGGATTCAAAGGGATTGGTCATGATCATAAGTCTAACACTACTGACACGTAAATCAACATTCCAAAAGCCTCAGCAGTAGGACTACCCTCTGGTAATTTAACAGTTTGCTATTGAAAATGGTGATTTATAGTGGATTTTCCCATTGAAAATGGTGATTTTCCATAGTTTTTTGTATGTTTACCAGAGGGTAATCCATCCTCAGTTGGTGCGCTTCAGGTGCAGGCAGGAACTGCCATTGACGGAAATGCGCAAGCAACACTACGGCCATTCAGCTGCAGCGAGACACGTGTTTTTTTAAGGAAAGTTCGATTCAATATAGAATCACGTGCTATAAATAATATATATATATATACACATGCATGTATATATATATATATAGAGATATGATGTGTATATATTTGTATAGTTCAAGATAAGCATGTTGTTTGGTTATAATTTAACATGGTATTAATTGATATCATTAATTAGTGATTATATGTGATTCAATATGGAGCTATAACTATGCTGTGCAATGCAAGTTCCCGTTCTTTGTGTGCCATTAGGCAACGCATCATGCATTTGGGACCTTTGGGCCTTTACAGAGGCTGGATGAGATCTTGGCTTATATGGCTATATATCTCCTTGAGAATATCTTGTCGATTGTAGGGGAAACCAGCGATTTTGTGGCCGCCCATGTTCAGGCGAATTGCATCACCATGATTTTTGTTTCAGCAACCATTTTGCTTGTTAAAGATGTTGTTACCTAAACCCAGATGTGGATGAAAAACACCCCTATCCTATCCCGTTATACTGGTGGGTTAATAGGTATCCCATTCTGGATTATGATCTCCGTTAAAACTGTATACCCTCAATAGGAGACCCAATCAACAGGTTACTTTGAATGGCCCGTTTACATTGTGCTTTGGGACACGTTCGGACCACTTTGATTCGTGCAGGTATCTTGCCAGGCTCCATGAGTGTGTTCATGCGCAATGGAACCGCAGCAATTGCCAGATCACTCAGTGTGCGCAGCTTCTTTTGGGGGTCAAAAAGCCCTTAGTCCTTTTGGTGGGAGGTTGACCTTTGGGGGGATACCCGATCAGATGTCGATTTCCATGGGGTACCTCATTGGATCGGTCAGAGCTACCAATTGAGTGTCGAAAAACTGCATGGCACACGGCACAAGAGGAAACACAGATGTGTGTTTTGTGTTTGTCTTAAAGCATCCAATTTGGGGCTATGCAAAAAAGGCTATCGACCATCCAAGCGGCTTTGCCGCAAGATCCTTTTCAGGTCATGTCTCTGGCCCAGCGAAAGATCTCAGAGTCCAGGCCTTTTTATACCGAGAGAGAACTGGTTTCGTCATGCGGGTAGCCCAAGGTATGGATGCTTTATAATGGACACTACTATGAAACTGGATGATAACTGAGGGTACCCGATTTATGGAGACCTCATGAAACCATATGAAACCTCCACTTGAGTTGTTCCCACAGGATTTGTCCAAGAGCTGAGGTGGGGCTTGAGATAAGCCTTGCGAATCTCCAGCTGTCAAGAGCTAAGTCCAACATTACAAATTCAGAAGTTGTTTAGTCACTTCAGCAGAATCATTCTGTTTCGATTTTTGTTTTGGTTTCATTTCCAAACTTTCCAAATGGGTGCATCTGAAAATTGGAGGATACCTTTCTAAATATCATTAAATATCCATTGAATAGGGAAAGTGAATGAACATGATTCCTAACCATCAAATTCTGGACCCTATTTTCAGACGAACCCAAACTTGTCCACATGTTTCACGATGTCATCGATGAGTCCGGCCGATCGAACACCAGGCTCCGGCTGGAAAGTGACCTGTTGCAAGCTGGCGGAAAGTGGTGCGAGTCGCGATGCAGACAGAATGGGTTCAAAATTGTTTTATAAGTTTTTTTTCAAGTAAGATTTTATGTTTTGTTTTATGGTGTTATATGGATTTATTTGTTTTTTTGTCTGGTTGGTAGTATGTGGTTGTATGTGTTTTTACATTGGTTTTATTAGGTTTTACTCGGCGTTTTCCATTGGATCAATGACAATGGTTGCCCACGAGAAGATAATGGCTGGAAGACGAATCAACTTCCATGTTTGATGCTGCGCCAGTGATACGAATCACGATGTTTTTATACGATTTTATACTACGTAAAAAAAGATGTTATACCATTTGGTTATTTAACATAGCCATGGAAAATCACCATCTTTAATAGGTAAACCATCTATATAAATGGGCCATCTATACCATGGCCATGTTAAATAACCAGATGGTAAGTTCAGCCTGATTTGTGTTCATTTATTGCTACTGCTGGATGAAACCGTGGTTCGACGTGTCCATGTTGACTCCACCTCCGGCTGATGTCAGGACAGATATGGCATGCTACATTTGTGAAAAAACGAGTAGGCAGACCCATCAATATGATCAACATTGATCAACCATGAGATTATTCCCATAAAAAAACGAACATTAGTGATCATAGTGATCCTTGTTTACTGAACTTCCAACAAAAAGTGACCAACTCCTGTTTGAATTTTGCCAAAGCCCGACAGAATGCTGCGTCTCGCAGCTCCAGCGACGGCCACGTCTGCGGCCCCTGCGGCCCCTGCGGCCCCTGTGGCCCCTGCGGCCTTACGGACACCCGCACTTCCAGGCCTAGATCCATGGGGTAAAGTATGGTAAAGTCAGTTTCCAAGGGACATGGCTGGACATGTTGGGGATCAATCCAGGAGAATACATCCATTTTGATGATTTTTAGGGTGGCCTGCAATTTCCAATCAGAATCCATTTTTTGGTTTGTTTTTGGAAGTTGGTCATGTTGAATCATTTTGAGCCATACTCATAGCATGATAGTCTATGATATTGCGGAAACCATGGGTAGGTTCAACGGGTCAGTTTCTATAGCGTAAAAGTTGTAAATGATATGCACAGCAAAAAACATGTCATTTTTCAAGGCCAGAGTAATGTTGAGTGCAGATCAATAAACATATAAGGTGGTGCCCCATAGTGGGCTAAGTTGTTTCATAACTCCGATAAAAATGGCTTTTATGATTAATAATACTCCCAACTGACAAACTCATATTTTTCAGAGGGGTGGCGAAAAACCACCAACCAGATATTATTCAACCTCAACTTCATTTTCTGGGGGCGCCACCTTGTAGCTGATTGATTTGAACAGTTACTATCAGTTACTCTGCTACTCAAATCATCCCCGCTACTCTGAACAAAATCTGTGGCACCGGGCAGGCTCCGCAAGTGTACCGGAGAAGTCCTGGTTGGTGGGGACTCCCGAGCTCTGGGGCTGGCAGTATATCCGGTCCCAAAAAATGCAATGTTCACTCGGTAAAACATGGTAAAGCAATGTTTTCAACTTTTCAAGCATCAAAAATCTTGGGGTACAGCCTATTTCAATCTATTTCAACTATCAAACCCAAAGTGAACGCCACAGCAAGTCATATCAAGTCAGGGTGAACATTCTGTCATTGTCACAGTGTTGCAGAGAGGGCTGTGAATTGCAAATGACCCAGAAAACTCTAGGAAATGTACCAGAAAGCTAATTTTTGCCTGTTGGCAAACAGAAGAACCTCAAGTATAACTGAAAGATACTGAAAGTATAACTGAAGTGCAGTTAACCCATATTAAACCCATATTAAAGCCATCATGTTGCCCCAATCCACAGCTGATCAAATCAAGTGGCCCCTCGGCGCTCCATACGGCGCCCTGGATATGGAGGGCGAGGATCGGGTCGAGCCCATCGAGCACGTGGAGCCCGTCAAGGCAATGGGCTTTCACCGTCTACCTGCGGTGCAGACGGTGCAACCACGACTGCCAGAGGCCCCACAAAAAGACGATGCCGGGGCTAAAGGTGGGACGAAAAAGGTGGGACCCTTCAGAACGAAACGAAATCGCGAAGTTGATCTAAGTTGGTGCAAATAACTCCAATAACTCGGTGCAAATAACTCCAACTCTGATGGTAGATACAACTGTAATACATGTAATAGTGCATGGGGTTTTTAAATAATTAGCTAGGGGGCCGTGTGGTGAGTCATGGAGTGTGGTGGAGAATAAATTGTTGAATAGTGTCACAGATAATTATTATTGATCAAGTTTCATACAGTAATGGTTTACACTTGGACAATGATGCTTATTGATCGTTCAGTATGGTTTCAGTGAGTTTGCTTCGTTACAACTCACCTTCTGAGTCCGAGTGGAGCCCCAGTCAGAGGAGGCAACTCATTTGGGTAATATATAACTTATATGGGTACGAGTCAAAACCTTGGTACCCTAGTGAACCCCAAATAACTGGTAAATGGATGTTCATCCTCCCAAATATAGCAAGATTGGTTTTGATACATCCCCATATATGGTATCTTATGGTCACAACTTGCTACATGGGAACTTATTTTTTTGCCGCGCTTAATTGCTGCGCAAATTGCCAAGTCTTCGGATTCTGATCAAAGCCATGAAGAAAACCCCGTGCCGCACAGGGCTGATGCGAAGAGAATGAACATAGGTATGGATCAATACCTATTAGTACCATGTTTAGGGGGATGAACATCCATTTACCAGCTATTTTGATGTTCACCAGGGGTACAAGGTTTTGACACACTGCCACATAGATGGCCGTCACATCCTGTTTTGCACTTGCTCCAGGAAAATCCAGAAAGCAGCGTGCCCTTCGATGCAGCAGTTGCTCTGGCTTTGTGTGAAGCTGGGAAGATTGTATAGGAGGTACGGAAGAGCAACATCCGTCGGTGATATTGTGTTGACACTTTTGGGATCCTTTAGGCTTGTACCAAGTTGTACCCACATGATACCTTTATATATATATAGTTGTCTCACGAGAGCCTGACACCACTGACATGTAATTGTTTGATTTCTCAGCAGATCCAATTCAGCAAAGGGTGCACAGTGTTTAAACTCTACACAGTTGAGTCGCAGTTCAACCGATTCTGGATCAGCTGGTGCCTGTATTTTTCTTTTCTCACCAATGACTACAATGTATTCAAGAGAAAAACTACCCTCTGGTGAACTAACATAGCAATGGAAAATCACCATTTTCAATGGGAAAATCCACTATAAATAGCCATTTTCCATTGCGAACTGTTAGTTCACCAGAGGGTAAACGACATTTGATTCTTTCAAAACGTGAAAATTGCCTTGACTCCAGCGGCTCTGATATTTTGCTCCCAGGCTATGACCAGTGAAATGTCACCGACTTTTCGTTTTTTCATGGAAAAGTTGGCCCATCAGCATTTAGTCGAGCTGTCGGGGAACACAGCCATTGGTGCACTGCGCTCGGAAATATGACAATGCCGGAAACATGGGTTTAGACATCAGGAAATATGTTGAAATCATAAATATGAATTTGATCTCTGGAAATATTTAAACAATAACACTAATACGATTTTTGACATGGAATACAAATGAAGTTGTGTTTTTTCATCATAGTTTGGTCACAGGCAATCCACTTCAGAGTCTCAAACCCGCTTGGCGGGATGAGAACCGTTTCACAGTGGCCTTAGATAATTCTCCTCAGAGGTATGGCTTATGTATGCTTATGTATTGATTCTGCCTCCTTGCAACTGGGGATGTTGGTAAGTGAGAGTACATATCCACATATATCGTCATATATCACTGGTTGGTGGTTTGGAACATGTTTTCCATATATTGGGAATAATACTCCCAACATCTCCCAACTGACGCTCATATTTTTCAGAGGGGTGGCTCAACCACCAACCAGACATATGTTTCGTAAAAATCTCAACTTCAAGATGATTCCAACTCCACCCAGGTCGTTGGCCCGCGGTCTGGCCTCGCCGAAAGTGTATGGCAGCAAGGTGTCCAGCGGCAAAATGTCACCCGACAACTCTGGTCAGGAAGGCTCACAAGTGGGATCGCCTGCTTCGCTTCCAGAGGACGGCTGACAGTCTGACAGGGCCTCCGCCCCGCTGAATTAAGAGTTGATGATAGTTGATGGCTCCAAAACCCCAAAAGTGAAAAAATATGATGCTGAAAATGATGAGCAAATGATGAGTAAATGATGATAAACATCCATTTTTTGGGGGGGTTACTTCATCCTCAGGCAAACCCACCTGGGACAGGAACTCCAGGAGTCTGGCCGTCGAAAGCGGCGGATCTCTCAACTGATGTGCAGCTTGGAGAAGAGCGGTCGAAACGTCAGACGTCCGTAGTTCAAGATTCTTTAGCAGTGTTGAAACCCCCAATGATGGGCGATTTATTTGGGTATTTTATGTATTTTTACTCCTTAGAGGTCTTAGAGGAGATTTATTTATATCCTATAGGATATTGATTCTATACTCATGAATAAACCAGGATAAGTAGATGGTAAAATGAATATATTACAGACCATTGCAATGGGGCCTTGGGAAATTGAGTATGCCCATAGTAATGGGATGCTGCTTATTGTGTCCCATTGGGTGGTTACCGGGATTGCAACTATTGCAGCTATTGCATTGGTTCTACCACTTTTGTGATACCGTAAGTGGGGATGGGTCAAACAGGCTGATGAAAACGTACCAAACATTCACAAGTACCACCTATTTTGACCCCTTCTGCTGCGAGAACTAGGGCCTTAGGGGTCAGGGGTTTTCCGGTGATATATGCTCATGATGGCACCGGTTTCATGTTACGCTGATTATTTGCTGCCTCCACCCAAAAACTTGTAAACATTACAAAGGCATGTTTTTTAATGTTTTTCACGTGTCACTTTTTTGCGTGTGTTTGCTTCACAGCGTTTCACTCCGGGTTTCAGTCACGAAGCAGGGCAGACCTGGTTGAATCCTGAGGTCAACAGCACAAGAATGCCACCAAGGTGAAAGCAAGTAGGTGGGAGACTCAGGCTGCCCTGGATCCAACTGGGTACGAAGATGCACCTGATGGTTTACCACATGTTTACCACAATTTTAAAAAGGCCCGAACTAAGAGGTTGAAATAGGTTTTATATATATATATATATATTAAGATTATAGAATATTATAGATCCTGAGAATCATCCATTTTTGGAGGAAGCGGCTCACCGCCCATTTGTAACAATGAAGATTCGTGGGGGTATCACCAAGAAACCATGGGATATATTGAGCCGTAGTGTAATGGGATGTGACCAGCTAAGGTAGGTGGAACAGAATGATATTCAGTGGAGGGTACTTACTGTAAATTTCAATGAATTTTCTCAGCCTTTCTCCCCAGCAGTTTCCAGAACCAGGTGGGCAGAACTCCACTGGTGCCCATTCACATTGATATGGGGTATCCATGGCCGTAGCTCCCATGGCTGAAGCCATCCCCCATCCTCTGAGGATCATGCAGACCTTCGAGGATTTAGGCCCAATCGAGCAGTCGGTTGAACTCGCAGCAGAGGCTCCCAAGAAGGAGTCGCCTGGCGACCAAAAGTACCAAAAAAGGGATGGGAAAGGATGGGACAGGCACAGAAAGGCACAGAAAAGCCTACGATATTTTTGACGACTCGTAGGCTGAAGCGGCCCACGCCGGTTCTGAGATCGTTACAAAGCTCTTAAGGTTGGGGTTCAAGACCTATTTGGACAGGCCTTGGTTTGACTGTAGAATAGCATAGCACTGGATGTTAAAACGGCCGAAACCTCCATTTTGGCAGGTGACACACCATGCCACGATGATATTGAATGGCTTCTGACTCTGACATTCTGAGAAATTTCGCATGGAGTATCATGTATATAATCATCGAATCATACTCATGTTCTTTGTTGCATAGTGTTGGAGATGTTGTTCTACAAACCACAGCATTTTCTTACCCGGTATAGAACCGCGCCAAGTTGCCGTGACTAAGGACTGCGCTGGTCAAGCTGCAAGTTTTTTTGCAATCTTCTTTCTACGAAGCTTGGTGGGTTGATCAATCCTTCCATTGCATGCGTTCACCTTCAATAAAAAATCCTCGAGACGGAGTGTGGAGAGAAGAGTGCGGAGGATGTCACGTGAAGTGTGGAGTGAGGCACGAGAAATGACTCCCTCGCAATGTACTGTGCCTGCCGCACGATTTGCACTTCGACACTGCTTCGCGCAGCCCTGACATTCCACGTGTAAAGCATGACTTGCCAGGAAAAATGACCCTGAACGTCTCCCAAGTACTGCGCCTGCCATGAAAAGCAATCTCATCTTCCAAAGGCAGCGCAAAAGGTTTGCGTTAGTTACACAAAACCATTTGCGACACTTGAGCCCTCACCTTTGAGTCACACCAAAGTATCAACTTGCAAAACGTGCAAAATTGTAGAAATCTTGACCTTAAGATTTCCCCCATGGCACAACATGGCATTACTATAGAGAGCAGATCATGAACGGTTGCGAACAATCGCAGACGATTGCGAACGGTGAAATAACGTCAAGCAAACAAGGGTCCACCCCCGGACCCAAGAGATAAATGAGAACCCTTCACTATGCATTCGGAAAGAAGGGTGATAAGCCCTTCGAATTGGGGGTGTCCTATTTTCAGAGAATTCCTGTTGCTTAAAAGGGATGCCCTTCTTTCGTCGACTATTGTGTTATAGTCATTATAGTAGCCATCCAGAAAATTTATGTGTTTTCATGACATGGTAGTGGAGGAATTCAGCACCCTGCAGGATTGGTCAACAGACAATCTTTTGCACATGGTTCAGTTGACTGGAACCCAACCTTTGCATAGTTTTGCTGTGCTTGCAACTTGGAGGGATTGGCAACATAGATGTACAATAAAATCGGACAGAACAAACGGCCGCAACAGCCGAAGCTATTGAGCCTTGCAGATGTACTTTTACGGAGATGGCAGCGAAGCACCTATCAGATATCAGCACAAAATTAGAAGATGGGAAGTGTACCCATCACCATCGTTTTAAGCCAGAAACTGTCCAAAATGAACCATCACCAACAGTGTTGGCCAACAGATTTGCTTCCCTCCACGTCTGTTTGTTTCAGTCATTTTGATTTATGTTGAATCAAGGGGGTAATGTTGCAATGCAACTTTATCCTTTATCTCTTGATGTAATGAAAATAGGGTCACCCCAAATTCCATGGTTCACTGTATTGCCTCCCCTTTTTTGAATCTCTGTTTTGGGGATACTACAGTCACTTCTTTTCAAATCAATAATTTCCCATATATACTTTATATATGTTTCCCAAATCCCCATATTATTCCCTATTTGTTGGTGGAATGCAGGGACATATCCCCATTGAATACCAATTTTCTCCTGTAACAGTCCCATTAAACACCATTGAAATGGGGAGAATCTAGCCACTTTTTCCCATTCCGATTCATTTCCATTAGTTCCCATTACGGGGTTTCCGAAAATGGGGTAAATTCATTCAGTTTCATGGGATTTGCCATTGTGAACCATCCATAAATGGGGTACCCCCATTTATGGAGACCCCCTTGAATTATTCCAATCAACCATTCGTGAGAACTTGGCTGGTTCTCGATGAATCCTGAGGAAATGTTGGTGGCCGGCTTGCTTTGTGTTTATGTCCTGTGGCTGGGTGTCGAGTTGCAAATCTTCGGAGCGAAAAGTGGATATGAGCTTGGAGTTCTGGAAGGCCGAACACGTGAAACCACCACAACTAGCATAATATCAATGCGAGGCAGCGAGGCATTCAGAATTGAACGTGTTCAGATATAGTTTGCTTGTTTGTCTTCTTTTTCAGGATTGCGTTTTGAAGTCCAGCGAGCAGTTCGGGAGATTTTATGGTGAGTGTGTGCTAAATTGCGGGTTTTTGTTTACGCTTTTCACATGGGTTTTCCAGGCACGTTGATCCCCACAGCAAGCCTTGCGTATTGGGACTCCGTTGTGTTTCCTGCCGTGGACCTCATGTTCACAGCAACCTGGCCGGTATTTGTTTCTTTTTCTTTGGTGGGTACAGTTTAGAACGTGTTTGGTGGGTTGAGTACTTTCTTCACATCCAATATGATGGCTTATCATTGTAAAATATTATTGTTCAAAATGTAAAAAAAACTATAGACGCATTGCCACGTGGCTTTCAGTTGGGTCATTTAGACTGAGTAACTCAGCATGTTCAACTGCCACGCTCTGGGCAAGGGTTCAACGCTTTTCAGCAATGTCCTCATTGGTTAGACCTGCTGACACTCCAGGTAGTCTTTACAGCGGACGTGGTAGTGCGCGTGGCCGTATTGGGTAGGGCTTTCTGGAAGGCGGCTGCTGGGCCCCCAAGATATCCTCATGGTAATCAAACATGGCTAGCTACTGCCAACTCGAAAATACAATGAACTAAATGGAGGTTAATAGCTGGGAAAATCAGCAAACTAAATGGTGGATGTTCCAGCATTCGTGCTTGGCAACAACAGGCACATCAGATCCACGTTGCGGCTAGGTTTCCACGTTGCGACAAATCATGAAGATATGTTTTACACCATTCACATGCACAGTATCCACCGAAGTACGTTCACCTACTTCACCCAAAGCATCCATGTCCATACATTGTGATTATATGTGTCATTATTTGTCATTACATAATTACATGATATTATTTGTCAAATTGCACTCAGAGTGAGGTATAGGTATTTATATATATATATACATATACATATATATATTTATGTTTCTTTATTTGTTTATCCATGTTTGTTTACCGAAAACCACTCATGGATTTTCTCTTCCCATGATGTCCCTATACTATACGTTTCACCTACGTTTCACTTGTTGTCCTGCAGATTGCCCTGAACTACATCGATGTCCTGGTGACCCTGGCTGCGTTCGCGGAACTGGTTTTCTTTTGGGCTTTCAGAACAGAGATGGGCGTGAATCCGATGCGCTCCAGCTGCAAGTTTCAGCCATGAGCCATGAAGATTGGTTATATCCTGGTTGATTGGCGATTGTTGGGAGTTATACTACCTAATTTACTGAGGACAATAAATAACCCATAGTAGGGAAACCTATCAACCAACTGGTATAATGAGATGGGATTCTGATATGTGTTTGATAAGCCACTGGTGATTTAGGTACTCGCAGCCCAAAAAATTGAGAACACCTATGTTGATACAAGGAATTTGAAGATTGCTTTGTTTTTTAATGATATGTTTTGCGGGCAGTTTGTTTTAGTCTATTAATAGTATTGCCCTCCGATGTTGTTTCGGTGCTGGCGATGTTTTGGGTCACCTGTTTTCATCAGCAACCGACATGGGGGTTCGCCAGTTTAAGACAAAAAGATCCAAAAAGCATGGGGATGTCATATAAAGTGGAAGCACCGGCGGGGCGTCAATCAGCAACCGACATGGGGATGCACCGGCGCAAGAACTGGGGGCTGAACCCTGAAGCATGGCGATAAGAGCACCAATTGAAAGTCATTGGCAGGGGCCGCAACCAGTCAGAAAAAGGAAATCAACTGACAAAAGACGGGCATATCCGGGAGGAACAAATGTGTTAAATGGTTTGCTGGTGTTGTTTCATTTTTTTTCAACCTAGGACCTACTACAAGATTATCGGCCCTCGCGTCGTGACTAATATTTTTTGCGGTAGCTCGAAACCCTTGACTGGTCGTTGATTTGCATTCCTGAGCGGTTGGTTTCCACTCTCCAATGCTTTCTGAAAGTGAAATCAGTGAATCATGTAAAGACATGTCAAGACATGTCAAGACCAGTGCAGGCCCATCACTGTCCAGATGTTCATGCTTTTCTTGCACAAATGTTGATTCATCGGCAGTCTGCTTGGAGTTTCTCCTTTCTGTGTGACAGCGACAGAGGCTTTTTCGCTTGCTGCGAATTGGCAAGTTAGCGCGAGCTATTCGGATGGTAGCTATGAATAGTGTGTGACTTGGTGACCCGGAGGGGAAAGCGTCAAAGATGACGAAAAGCGCGGTGTCCTCCACAAAGTAAATGGAGATTTTCGAGCCATGTTTGACTACAGGAGGCTAAAAGAAAAGCTTAGCAGCTAAGGCTTCAGTCTTTGCAGATCTTGACTCGCTGCCTGGCCTCCAGTACCACCATGCTCCACAGCTGCAGTAAACCGGACTGGTTCTTGTTGCACTGAGCTGGAAATGCATAGCAATCCCATGATTTCTGCAAGAATAGCCTGGTACGGGCGCGCTCTTTGGACTGGAAAGTTGATGAACATTGAGCATGGAAAGACTGCCAGCACGTTTTGAAATTCAGCGTGGAAACATCTTTTCTCAAGAGTTGACAAGCCAGTACCTGGGCGTTGCACCACAGGCTGTTCTGGACCTTTCTCTTGCTGACCTTCTTTCAATGCGTTGCTGGTCTCGTGGCTTCTACGCTCTGTCGCGATTTCATTGAGGACACCACGCAGGATGTGAAAGTGCGGGAAGATGTCTACAGGCCGTGGCGACACACCATGGCTGGGAAATCCCCACCAGGTTCATCTGCCACCCATTGCCTTCACTGCGGTTGATCATCGTTCTACTTTAAGTAAAGGACTACTTTCAAGGTATGCAAAGATGATCAAAGTGGGAGTCGCGATGTGTCTTTTCAATTCTCATCATGTTTAATTTTGTTTTACTCATCATCGTCAGACTATTTTGTCGGAATTACCTATAGCTACTTAGCTTCAAGAATGCTGTCATTAGGATACACGTGTTGGCATTTTGGCCAGCACGATATCTAGTTTCCTATCGTTCAAATTTTCTGGTCGATTGATGAAGGTTTCCCAAAGGCCAGAGGCAGAGGGAACCCATTTGCAGGCAGGACCTACGGAGACGCTTTGGTGAAACCAAAATGCGATGGTTTATTTCATGCTTTGCCTTAATTGGATAACGGGGCATATTGGGGATATACCGATATACCCCATTTTCAGACACGGCCGTATAGCAAAAATACCATCAAGCCATATCAAGGTTTTACGTGTAGGGCCCAATTGCAGCATTGGTACGTTGCAATGACAGCTCATTTCTGCCACGAGCGCTGACCAACTGCAGATACTACGGAACGTTCACTCGCACATTTCTGACGATGTTTGAGATACTGTTTCTGGGCAAGATTCAGGAAGATATCTCCTAAAATGTGTATTATTTTTTGAGGTTGCGTGTGTATTTATGAATCCACTGACTTTTTCTTCGCCCGCCGGAAACTATTTTTTGGTGTGATTTGGCAAGTCTCAAGGTTTGCGAATTGGAGTCCGCCGTGCCGTGTGCTTGTGGACAACATCAGCGAATGGTTTTCCCTTTTCTTCCTGGTTTACAGGCACCCTGCCAAGTCTGCAGATCGAAGTTCCTGTCGGGATTGGGGATGAGAACTCCCCAGCATGGGCTCCGAGGTCGGAATAGGCTTTGATGAGGTCAGAATAGCCCTTCCCAAGGACGATCTTTTTGACACAAGCACGGTAATTTATAATCCTCTTACCAGTTTCCCCTAGAAAATCTAGGGGGTCAACCCCCCTGTAAGCCTTCGTTTTCTAGTGATTCCAGTTTTGTATTCTGGGGATCGGCTGCTTTCATAGTGGCCTTGATTTTCTAGCGTGGTTATTTTAAGCACCTCAAAGTTGACAGAGCCTAACGTTCGGGCGCGGAAAATGCAGATTTTACGGACCCAAACTGGGGAGTCAGCCTATGAATTTCTAGTGGGCTCTGTCTTTCTAGTTTAGTTGAGTTAGACTTATGTTTCTGAATACTGGTTCCCTTTTCCTTAGGAAATCCGGCTCGTTAACTCGACTAGGGGAATGTGAAGGGGGATGTCTCTGATCCATACCAGCAATACCTGTTTGCTTTTGTTTTTCTAATGGCTTTCACTGTGACCCTGTGCATTCACTGAACCATGCGCCCATGATTTTCTCAAATGTACCGCTGGATCTGCCAGAGCAATTTGAGCCGGTCTGTGGGATAGTGCCATGGAAGGCCATTAGGCCATTTCACAGAACGTTCATCATAGTTTATCATAGCAACATGTATCGATATATTTCTGATATTTTCTGACTGTTTCTGAATTTGAATTCATGGCGACTATTGGCTGGGAAGGGCTCATTCTGGAGGACGCTCTGAGAGAAGACTCGAAAAGTTCGAAAAATTCCAAAAAATCGAATCTCGGGAGAGGGGAGGAGACCGGACATGAATGTTCTAGAATATCATAGCTCAGATGTTGATGCTAAATAATTATGACATCAAGCTCCGCATTTTTCGTCGGAGCCCAAGGATCAGGTTTCAATTTTCTACCAAATTATAGGCACATAAGGGTCTGAAATGTTGTTTTGTACGTGTGCTGATTCTCTAGTGAGGTGGTATTTATTTTTTTCCAGCTGTGTTTTTCTATAGGGTCCAAGTATCTGTTTTCACCTATGTTTTCCCTAGAAAATCAGGTGAGCCAACCTGACCCGGTAAGCTCGTAGAAGGATAATTTATATATATATATATTTCTGACACAACTCAAGTCATCTCAAGTCATACAGTATTCTTGCTTGTTGATATTTTTTCCTGAAAGCTCTTGCGAAGGGTTTTTCCCAAAGAACTGCTGCCAATTTCAACTTTTCACTTCATCTACATAACATATTCTACATCCTTTACATCCCCTAGATCATCTACATCAGCTTGATCTACGTCACATCCATCAACTACATCATCTACATCAGCTTCAATGAATTTCATTTACATCACATACATCATCTACATCAACTTCATCTACAGTTACAGGTGCTCAACGTCTACATCTTAGCGTGGCGCTCTACCACGTTTTCTTTAGAGCTATTTTGTCCAAGTTTGGGCAATTATTGTCCCTAAGTTTGGGAATTGTTGTCCCCAAGTTTGGGGCAAGTTGGGGACAAAAATTCCAAAAGTTGGGGACAAAAAATCCCAAAAGTTGGGGACTGTGCAGACATGGGTCGAACTCTGCTGCAAGGGCTCTCAGCACTTCATCCAACCCTTCAGGCTGTGCGTGCTGCAAGTGCCGCCAATGCTTGGCACAACCTTGGGGGATAGCCCTTGGCTCTTGACGTGCGCCATCCGCCATCCCTTCCCATCTCTGTTGCGGCCACCGAGCCTCTCTGTCGCCCACCATCGAGGCTGATATAGCGCATGCAAATGATGAGGAAGATCAGGAAGTCTCCCTGCCAAAAGCGATGTGGGTTTCGGAAAGGGTTTCCCCAAGGGGCCTTGTAGGAAATCTGTCCTTTGAATGCTTCCGGCCAGTAAAAGAAGCTTCACGAAGGCAGAATCCCAAATGGACCAGCGTCCTTTTTGGCCACCTTGGCCTTTTGGATGCTCCAATGAGAAACTTCCATGTTCCAGTCACCACCTGCTCAACCTCTCTGAGACTCAAATCATCTCTGCCCCATGGAGCTTGCGTTGTCCTCAATGGTTGCTGTCTCTGTCCATCTTCCAAAAGCAGCCATCGAGCAAAACTTAAAGTTTCACACGGTGGTCCTGCATGTCCACCTGTGACTTTGCGCGAGCAGATTAATCGCTTCCAGATATCATCTCGCAAAATGTTGCCATGATGGCTGTCAATTGCAAGATCTATGGAGATTGGAATCACATCGCTGCCCCATGTGATCCACTGTGCCAAATCCGCAAATCGCCTGTGAACATGATGAGAAAATACTGTGTCCCCAATGCAAGGGGTCGAGGAACCCAATCATGACATGGCCCCCACCTGATGTCCGCAAGAAGGCTTCGCTCCAAGTCAGTTGTGTCCTTGCTCACATGATGTACTTTCATGTCCATCAATGTTCTCGCAATGGTCTCCCGTCCCCCTTTTCCAGGTGGCAAGAGGCCGATCTGTCTCCAATCCTCCAACTCAGATTCATTGGGCTGTGAATGGTCTGCTTCTTCTTCCTGACGCAGCGCTAGCACATCGATCAATCCCAAATGCTGGCATTCTCGCCAGATCCTGTCATCTTCCTGGTCCATGAAGCCCTTTTGATGCATTGCTACGCCTGTTCTCTTGTCTTCATGGTCCAACTCGTGGGCTCTTTCACTTGTCATAGGCCAATACCGCCTGCAGCGCCACACCCAACAGTCAGCCGTGCCCATGTGCAAGTGACGAAGCAGTCTTGGACGAGTATGGAAAAATCTCTGGCATGCTCTGCAAACTGCATCTGCTGCAAAACGTCTCATGGCGTTTGTTCTATACCGTGCTTTCTCTGTTGGGTGGACTGCCAAAGCTGCTCCATTTTTGAAGCATTCTGTGCATTCGTCACAGTGACTCACCTGCTGATCACCTTGATTTTCTTTCTCATTACTGCCTGCTTTAGTCCATCCAATGCTGTGCAAAATTTCGCTCTGCCTCTTGTCATGGCTGTGGAGTTCGCAGATGTTCCTCACCTTGAGCATGTGTGACGCCTTTGCCTTCCCCAGCGTCTTTGCAAGCTGCTTTGCAAAAGGAGCAAAAGCCTCCCACACCGTAGGATCGTGCAAGCCGTCTAATTCAGCTGGAACTGCAAAATCACCAACCTGACTGCGCATCCAGCTGATCTTGAGGGCTCTGTGAAGCCAAGACTCTTTGCCGGCAATGTGATAGTTTTGCAAAATTCCACCCAGCATGACTTTGTCTTGCACCCCCATCACATGAAAAAGGAGTCGCAACCTCTGGATGTAAATCCGCTCGATGGGCATTGGTGAATCAGCATCTTTTGCCAGCTCGTAAAGCCTCACATGACGAACCGTTCTAGGTGCTTAGGTTTGTAGGCATGGCTCATTTTCATGATTTCTTGATCTGTTCAGGCGCTCGCCTCGAAGAGGGCAATAATTCTCTGTGTAAAAGCTTCGGTGTGCAAAAGCTTCTGTGTGTAAACTCGTTTGTGTGTAGAAGCTCCTCTGTGTAAAGACTTCTCTGTGTAGAAGCTTCTGTGAGTAAAAGCTTCTGTGTGCAAAAGCCTGTGTGTGTAAACAGGTCTGTGTGTAGAATCTCCTCTGTGTCTGTGTAAAGACTTCTCTGTGTAGAAGCTTCTGTGAGTAAAAGCTTCTGTGTGCGGTGTGTAAAAGCCCTTTTCTGTAAAAGCTCCGCTGTGCAAAAGCTTCTGTGTGTAAACTCGTCTGTGTGTAAAGGCTCCTCTGTGTAAAAGCTTCTGTGTGTAAAAGCCCCTCTGTGTAAAAGTTCCGCTGTGCAAAAGCTTCTGTGTGTAAACTCGTCTGTGTGTAAAGGCTCCTCTGTGTAAAAGCTTCTGTGTGTAAACTCGTTTGTGTGTAGAAGCTCCTCTGTGTAAAGACTTCTCTGTGTAGAAGCTTCTGTGAGTAAAAGCTTCTGTGTGCAAAAGCCTGTGTGTGTAAACAGGTCTGTGTGTAGAATCTCCTCTGTGTCTGTGTAAAGACTTCTCTGTGTAGAAGCTTCTGTGAGTAAAAGCTTCTGTGTGCGGTGTGTAAAAGCCCTTTTCTGTAAAAGCTCCGCTGTGCAAAAGCTTCTGTGTGTAAACTCGTCTGTGTGTAAAGGCTCCTCTGTGTAAAAGCTTCTGTGTGTAAAAGCCCCTCTGTGCAAAGCCGCTGTGCAAAAGCTTCTGTGTGTCTAATCTCCTCTGTGTCTTCTGTGTAAAGACTTCTCTGTGTAGAAGCTTCTGTGAGTAAAAGCTTCTGTGTGCAAAAGCCTGTGTGTGTAAACAGGTCTGTGTGTAGAATCTCCTCTGTGTCTGTGTAAAGACTTCTCTGTGTAGAAGCTTCTGTGAGTAAAAGCTTCTGTGTGCGGTGTGTAAAAGCCCTTTTCTGTAAAAGCTCCGCTGTGCAAAAGCTTCTGTGTGTAAACTTGTCTGTGTGTAGAAGCTCCTCTGTGTAAAGACTTCTCTGTGTAGAAGCTTCTGTGAGCAAAAGCTCCGCTGTGCAAAAGCTTCTGTGTGTAAACTCGTCTGTGTGTAGAAGCTTCGCTGTGCAAAAGCTTCTTTGTGTAAACTCGTCTGTGTGTAGAAGCTCCTTTGTGTAAAGACTTCTCTGTGTAGAAGCTTCTGTGAGCAAAAGCTCCGCTGTGCAAAAGCTTCTGTGTGTAAACTCGTCTGTGTGTAGAAGCTTCTCTGTGTAAAGACTTCTAGAAGCTTCTGTGTGTAAACACTTCTGTGGGTAAAAGCTTCTGTGTGCAAAAGCTTGTGTGGGGTTGGAAGCTCCTTTGTGCAAAGACTTCTCTGTGTAAAAGCTTCTGTCTGTAAAAGCTTCGTTGTGTAACGACTTCTCTATGTAAAAGCTTCTGTGTGCAAAGACTCGCCTGTGTAAAAGCTTCTGTGTGGAAGAGCTTCGGTGTGTAAAGACTTCTCTGTGTAAAAGCTTCTGTGTGTCAAAGCTCCGCTCTGTAAAAGCTTCTGTGTGTAAAAGGTTCTGTGTGTAAAAGCACCCCTGTGTAAGGACTTCTCTATGTAGAAGCTTCTGTGGGTAAAAGCCTCTGTGTGCAAAAGCTTCGGTGTGTAAAAACCTCTCTGTGTAAAAGCTTGTCTGTGTAAAAGTTTCTGTGTGTGTTAAAGTTTTTTTTGTGTAAAAACACAATCTCTCGTGATCCTGTTTGTTGCCCAGGAGCCAGCCCTGGAGCAAACCTCCAGTGGGGAAAAAACACCGAACGGTGGATATGACCAAGAATCATCACCGTCAACATCACCACCATTATCCCCATCATCATTCATGATGTGTTTTTCTTGTGTGTTATCTTCTCGTTCCCTCCCTCCTGCTTTTTCTGAGGCCACACTCTAGGTGGTTTATTTTAAAATGTATAGTTTGATATTTTGTAATTTAGTTTAAAATAATATTTCATTTTTTATACAATTCTCAATAACATGTATTTTAGTTTGTTCTAATATATCGCATATTTTTGAATTTAACTTTATATAATATAACACATATAACATAACATAATATAACATATATAACATAATTTAATATAAGATAGACTTTAATGTGCCATAATATATAATATAACTTCTTCTAATATATAAAACACAATGTATTCTAGTATAGTATAGCTTAAGAGAAGATAAGATATCATTGTCTCCGAATAAATTGACGAGTTGAGAAACCGAAACCTCAGAGAAGGCAAGGGCCCCAACCGAGTAAATCTGGCACCAGTCACTTCATTTCTGCCAGGTGCATCTTGGGTTTTGCAGTTCTGAGCCTTGGCGGCAGGTGACTGTTGGAGGGCCCCTTTACTGTACCAGCTACAACGCATCCAACGTGAACTGGGAATTTTGGTACATGTGATGCGCCTGGACAACAGTTCCATGATGTTCCATGAGAAGTTGACTGCTGCATCTACAATCCTTGCCCCCTACTCTTAAATGGTGCCCCCGCCCTAGGGAAAAATCGGGAAATTTGTAGTTTTTCTTCTTATTTGGAGTGGCCGTAACCCTTGAGCGTGTCCATAGGAATACAACATGCTTTGTATTGCTGTCACGTTTTCCTGCCCTACCGTACTTTTTCTGCATGGCCGAGGGAATCGCAGCAGGGTCAGTAATTTAAAGTCCACGGTTCCCGGCTGAGCGCACACAGCACTGCAATGGCCTTTTGTTAGAGTATTTCGGACTTGCTTCACAGTTTTTCAGACCCTGCTTTGACAGGGTGTGCTGGACTACTTGTCAAGTTCATGGGGGTGGTAGCAGTGGTAATGATGTTCGCGTCAGATCGCGTCAGCTTTGGTGCGAGTTGCAACGAAAATATGTTATGTAGGAGGTATAACCTTCCCCAACTGATCGAGGGGATAAAGTGACCACCTCGCGAACAAGCGCAAATTGGCAGGAAATTGGGAAGATGTAGTATTTGGTTGTCAATAGGATGCTTCAAAAGCGAACACCAAAAAATGGGTGCGAAGAGGTGGCTTAGAGAAGGCGTACAGTAGCTTAGGGAATGGGTAGCTCAATGGAGAAGTAGCTCGTTCAGTCACTCAGGCAGTCAGACATGGAGTCATCCATTCACTCATTCGTTCACTCATCCATGCATGGCATCACACTCACACACTCACGCGCACACGCGCACACGCACTCACTCACTCACTCACTCACTCACTCACTCACGCACGCACGCACGCACGCACGCACGCACGCACTCACTCCCTCACTTACTCATTCACACAGTCATTCCTTAACATTCCCTCATTCCATCATTCGCTCGTTCAGTCCTTCATTCGTTGGTTAAACCTCCGTTCGTTCGCTCGTTCGTTCGTTCATTCCCTCAGTCCTTCAGTCATTCATTCAATCAGTTCAATTTTTCATACGCTCATGCAGCCAATCATTCACTCATTCGCTTGTTCTTTCATTTTGTTTTTTTAATCGGTTAATTTCATGTCATTTATTTCATCAATTTCGCTTATTCTCAGTGCATTCAAATCATTCAGTTTGTTCAATTCCTGTATTTCCTTTAGCTCTACCATTCGTTCATTCATTGGTTCGCTCAAATTCTTGTTATTTCAACTCAACTCAAGTCTGCACACGTTCATTTCATGCCATTTCACGTCCTTTCATGTTAGATTCTTTCATTCAGTCATTCAGTCGTTTCTGGATTCTTTCATGTTATTGGTTTCATTTGCTTTCATGCCATTTAGTTGGCATCTCAAAAACCACGTGAATCTTTCATTGCTTCTGCATTTCCCATACATGCTGCAGCGAGGAATGTTGTCAACTCAGTTTTTGTGCAGCAAACCATGCGCATAGTCCCTCGGAAGCATTCAAGGGGTGGTTTGGATGTTTGCGTTCGTTCCTGTATCACATTTGCATAGACTCGCCATTTTTCAGGAGATACAGTATATTCTCGCATATCTCACTGGTTTCCTGAACAGATTTGGCACAGTGGCATGATGTAGCCACAAGGGTGCGTAGATCGCATGGCAGAAAATCGAGAAGGTTCTCTTTGCGCGAAAGTTCCTGAGGCAACCAGCGATGAGCAGCTGGCTTTCAAGAAGAAGGAGCAGGAACTCGCTTCTTACACTCGCAAGGCTGGGCGCCCAAGACCACAAGCATCAAATCATGAATTTCCGAATGCATGCCAAGTTGAGTTGCATATAGTGTTGTTTGCTTGTGGTTCTGCGCGGCGCAGTTCTTACATGAATTGCGTTTGTCCTCTTCCGGAAATCAATCGCTGCTGTTGCAAGCCGTCCATGGCACATCAAATTAAACGCATCGCAGATCAGGTGAAGAACTTGTTCGCCACCATGGATCAGTCTGGGGATGGGGTCATCAACTTCGAAGAATTTTCCAAACTGGTGCAATCGCCAATGCTTCAGTTCCTGTTGAGCCAGTGCCTTGGAACAGCTAAGCAGAAATCATCGCGAGTGCTGGGAAAATGAGCGGGGGACTTTGCCTCCCCTTGTCTCGCATGACTTTCTTTTCTATAACGACATGATAGTGGCAATATTTTCTAAATGATGCAAGCCACTCACAGTTTTTAACTTATTCATACGGTTGTTACATATATATTTTTTATACATGCTTATATTTTATCTAGGTATATGGGAGTTGTTGATCTAAAGGTCCTTGTGATCTTGTAAGGATTGTTCATCGCAAAGGCCGCCAGCGTTACAACATGAGACCCCATGAGAGCTTTTGGGCGAAGGTATATGGCGTGAGTTTTTTGATGAGGTGTTGTACCATAATGTCATACTGTTTTTTTCGGTGAAGTAAAAACCTGCTGACGTGTGAATGGCAGGGACAGACTAGACCCACGTACTATATTCGAATCAAGTGGAGCTCCACCCCAAGATCCCCTGCAAGGAATTTCCGCTAAAGTTTCGGGGAAGCAGTGGCAAAAGAGAAGGTGTCCGTGGAATCCCGCAGCACCCTTGCAGCGAAACAATCACTTTGCTGTTTCCTAGTGGTACTCTCCCAACATGGCCTTGCATCTGCCCTTGGCTGTCCCCAGATCACTCACACAGTAGCCATTTACATGCTCTTTGGGCATGTCTCAGCAGCACAAAAGTGGATAACCATATATAACCCTGCGAAAGAAAAAAGGTGGAGTCGCGAAAGTTTGGCGAAAGTATATTTTCACATGGAAGAATCTAGGCAATGCCTTGAAGTGCCCTTGACAAGGTCTTGTGAACCAAGCAAATCTCATTTCCAAGGTTTCACAATGTTTTATCATGCAACAACTACTGTAATTTCATAGAAGTTGTCATCATGTCATAGAAATTGTCCGCGTTTCATAGCAGTTGTCATCTTTGCATAGGCGCTGTCATAGTTTCATAGAAGTTGTCATCGTTTCAAAGGTTTTGCAATTGTTCCACAAATCGTAGCAACGCTCGTTATTGATTTTTTCGGCACGGGCTGCATTTGGAAAGCCGGCAAAACATGTGGATATGATTGGATATGAATATTTGCGAATTAGTACTTATGTATCATATGCCAAATATGTTTCATGTGTTTTTGTGCACTTCTACGTTTGTAAAAATATCTGTGTGTCTTTTTTTACTTCCTCACATACGTACAGATGTCAAAATGACACCAATTGAATATGTTTAATTATGTACGGATGTCATTTGTTTACAGTTATACTGCTCACAGGTCTTTCACTTGTATGTTCTTGCCTACGCAAATGTGTAAATACATGCATAGATACATGTTAAACCCGGCATGTAAATTCTAAATATCTAAGTCTAAAGCGCAGAGAGAGATAGATAGATAGATAGATAGATAGATAGATAGACAGAGAGGTAGATAGGTAGATAGATATACATACATTTATTTTGCATATGGGGAAACGGCAAGAGATAAGGCCAGACCACATGAGGGCAACTTGTCTCAGCGGACTCACTTGCCATCCAGCCAGCGCTGTTGAAGTTGTGCAAGGTGTCACCATGTGCTTATACTGGTCTAAGGCTTGATTTGGAGTACCACGACTTGCTCAGTTTGTTTGACTCTGGGCTTCTGAATTTCACTATGGGTGGCTGTCTTGCGTTGGGCAAAACAATGCAAAAAAGTTCCCCAACAAACACCTGCCCAGAATCCCAGCAGCATGCTACAGAAAAAAAAAAAAAAAACATGTTCGGCCATCATCGCTGCAAAGCAGTCTTTTGGGTAAAGTGTAGTTACATGTAGTTACTAGTATCAAATTTCAGTCATGTGGTTGCAAGGCAGCTGGCCAAACTTCTTGAACCATGGGATAGGCCAGGAGTAATCCGTAATTTTCTTGCTGGTGCTTAGCAGGGAATGAGGGAATGATCCATAATCACTAGTAATAACCATCCCATTCCCCCATTCCTATCCATTCCCTGCTAAGCACCAGTAAGTTTTTGTGTTCGCATCGCATGAAGCCTCAGCAGCGAAATGACTATAGGAGTTTCTCGACAACGGGGACGGTGAGATCACCCTCTCGGAGCGACAGGGTTTCTGGTCGCGTGCGGGGAAAATTTTGGGTATTCCAGAAAAGGAAGTGGTTGATTGGTTGATCATGAGTCGGTCCAAACTTTCTCAAGAAACGGTCGATCAGTCGATTAGAAGTTTTTCAGAAATTGGCAAGATGTGCAGTTGGCCAAAAGTTGGTCTGAGTTGCTCAATTTTTTTCGGTTTTGTCAAAAATTTGGTCTGGCAATGGTCAGGTTGATCAGAAGGGTCAAACATTCCCAAAGTTGGTCCATCCAGAAAGCTTTGATTTTGACTTGAAATTGGAATTGCAGACTTGCAGGGGTTATCTATCGTTCTTCTGTTTTTGACTTGTTGAATCTAAGTTTTCTGATATACGATCTGACTTGTTATTGGCTCGGACGTCGGGTCCCGTCGCGCAGAACAGGCTCATTTGATCCCGTAAAATGCAAGACACGTGGCTGCGGAAGTCATGTTTCATTGTCAAATTCACGACTTCCTAGGGGCGTCATTTTACATAATTGTTATTTGTAGTGAATATTTAGCATCATCTTCAAAACATGCAAAAGAGTCGCAAGTTTTGTACGCTTAAGTTTCACTCATGACATTTCAGAAAATTGCATTACTGATAATCATGCCCTGAAACATTTCCAATTTGGTCATCTTCTTCCGTAGGTGCCATTGACATCGCAGTTCGACTATCTTTGACCTATGTGTATTTGTTGAGCGTGTAGATTTTGTTGGGGCGGAGGGGCGCGGTGGAGGGGGGTCGGGGGAAGGGGGGGGTTGGGTTGGTAATAACGTTCTTGCTTCTGTGTTTTTGATGCTACGCTTTTGAACTTGCTCAACTAACTCTCTTGATGCTACGCTTTTGAACTTTCTGAAGTAACTTTTGAAGACTTTCTTGGCGCTACACTCTTGACTTTCTCAAGTAATTTTCAATACGCTCTTGATGCTACACTCTTGAACATCCTGGAACTGTCAAAAGGACAATGGCTGGCTGTATGATCCTCCTGTGTGATGCAGAAGGCACGTCAAGAAAAATGATTCGAGGCTCTTCAAAAGAAATTAACATCACATGTGTAGGCACTCAACCTATGTGAATGACAATGAACATGACAATGGAAAACGGAGATGATGAAGTAGATGATGATCATGACCATAATGACGATGATGACCGTGATGATGTTGATGACGATGATGACGACGATGATGATGGCGGTGATGATGGTGAAGGTGATGATGGTGAAGATGATGATGGTAAAGATGATGATGGTAAAGTTGATGATGATGATGATGATGGTGTGAGTCCCCTCCGGAACTTCGGCCCGAATGCCTTCTCTGGGGCACCCGTGAATCCCTAGTGCGGGGCGGCAAATCTCTGTATGCCGCTGCCGAGAAGGCCAAACTGAAGCCCAAGGTTGCCATGGAAGGCTTGGCCTTCCAGGCCAAAGCCTTTGGCTGCAGCGACACCTGCAGGTTGTAAAACAAGTCACCACACCACACTGAGCCACATTGCCCAAGAAGTTTCAACTCTTTGGCTGCACTCCAGCACAGATTTTTTCGGAAGTTGTTTCCTGCTGTAACTGGGGCAATACCATGGCGGAAAATGATCCCTTCTCCCTAAGATCAAGCAGCCCACAGAAACCATGGGGAATGTAGGGGTGATTTCATCACAACTGATTGGGGGGCATTAACTAAGGGGTGTTCAACGGTGTTCGTTGTTATTCACTAAGGGGATGGGTTGGTACAGACCACCACTGTGCTGCTACGCTGCAGGAGTTCATCGAAGGAGCTGCGAAGCTCCGTGGCAGTGCCAAAGCCTTGGACATTTGGCGAATGGAAACGAAAATCGAGGCGATGGCTGCTGGGTTCAGCGGTCCAGCAGCTGGGGATAATATGAGTTTTTGGCCGCAACATCTTTATCATTGGTGTCAGTTGCAGGTATTTGACATAGTTGGGCCACATGTCTGTTGTGCTTTGACAAACTGCAACCAAACGACAATTGTCAGATTCCCCTGATCACCTAGACTTTCAATAGGATAATGTTTCATGATGTCGGAATTGAAACCCCGGAAGTCTCACTTGAGCTACCTGGCGCAATCATTGCGTGGCGGATCCAAATTTGCATACATTGTGATGGATTTGTTTGTTTAAGATACAACATGATTCGGACTGTGTTGGTATGTTTCACACAGGGGTAAACTAAAAACCCATCATTTGTAGATCATTTTCCTGGGAAAACTTAAAACCATTGGTTTTGGACATCTAAGTCAGTTTACCCTGGGATAAGCATATTGCACCTGTGCTATCAGCGTCACTCTGGAGGTCCTGTTGAGCGAGGTTCTTCAAGCGGTTGGAGGGAAAATGAACGTGCAGGAGGTGGGAACATGAAAAAAGCACCTGCTGATTAGTTATTATAAAATATTCGACTACCACTACCTGGCTTAATGATGTTTAATGGGAATATTCAATATTCTCACCCAACTAGTATAATGAGATGGGATAGGGGTATTTTGCATGGCTCAGTTTTGCAAATATCCTATGCCCGATGCAGAGAAAAGCAACAAAACATTAGACCCCACATAGAAGACGCATGGCATTGAATCACAACCTTGAACATACAGTATTCCACATATTTGATGACATTCCTTGTCATTCTATGACATCACTCCACATTCTATACAGTTTGATGGCACACTGTAGTAATTCCATCTTCTCCTATTATTGAGTATTGCGCTGTAAACCCTCGTTTTGTACAGTTACTATATGTGTTCGCTTTGGGGTCCCATCTGCGGGTGTTTAATGGAGGAAGGGATTATGTTCCATCACTCCAGTGACGTATCAAAGAATGGCTATATCCCCAGGTTGATTAAACCATATTCACCGCCCTATCTTTGATGATTCAACCCCCTATTTATTAGTTCCTTCTTAGTTTGTTTGATTATGTTACCATGTCTTGCTAGTCATATCACCATTTTGTTTATTATTAGTGCACTCTAAAATACGCGTTCTTGATGGTAAAATACACGTTTACTTGTTGAATGTTAAATATGGGTGGTTCTTAAATGGGAAATCCCCAAGTCACCCTGTGTTTCAATACTAAAATGATTTGGGGTACCCCCATTTTAGGAATCCTCCGTATATCGGGAAATTAAATTATAACGGCCCACCGCGACCTCGCTCGAATGATGGTATAGGGATGTATAGGGGGAACAATCCCAATATAGCCTACTTCCAGGTTACCCCATTCTTCAATGTGACCTTGTTCCACCACTATTTCAAGGTCTCTTAACCTAATTTTAGGCTCAGCCACCTTAAAGGGGTCACTTTGAAGAACCAGTTCTGGAATTGTTATCATCTACCCAGATATATACCCAGGTTTGAAAGTATTTGTTAGATCCACCAAAGTCATGTCTGGAGGCCTTTGAAGAGCATGGCTTCCGGCATGTGACCTTTTCCACCAACGCGGCACGACATAGCATAGCGCAACATACCAAAAGCGGCGAAGGGATCGAGCAGTGAGCAGTTGGAGTAATGTCCTAAAGTTATTATGGGAACTTATGGGAAGATGTCCCAAATATTTGCGGAATTTTGGGATAATTATACGGATATTTCATGGCGTCTATGGGAAATTCTGTTCCAAATTCGTCCGAATTCCGATACATTCCCACTGGTTTGTTGATGCAAAATGGAAAGTTCATGCCGGCAAACCCCCCATTTGTTGCCGACAAAACATCGAATCGATACGACTAGAAGCACATGTGCGGACTTGACCATCCGAAGGGAAAATTGAGAAGCTGCTTTTCTGGCTTCAAATGGTGGCAACAGCGCAAACCATATATCGATGATGATAGAATATGATAGATGCATATGACGAAATATCACCTTCATCCTAATCGAGGCGGTGTTTTGATCCCACAAATCCCATCCCATGAAACAGCCCCTAAATGGTCCCCACTAAACCATGCTTTGTAGAGGGGTTGATATATTAGGGTTGGGTTTCTATAGCTTCGTATCCGGTATCTGTGCATACAGAGCTTTACGTTTCAGAGACAGAAACTGCCTGCCAACGCCTCGAAATAAGTGTTTTTTGCCGGCGAGGGTGATTTGATACTCTCTTGGCAACCGTGTGCGGGACATGTACATCGGATGGGACGCCAACGTCAGAGTAATATGCAATTTCATATGCCCAATGGCACAACTTAATGTTGAAGAGTCACCTGAAATAAAATTCTGTCTTTGAAATGATCGATCTTCAAATAAGGTAAATGTCTTCAAAATGATGACTCCCACCGCTAACATGTCTCAACTTTGATGTGACATAGAAAAAAATTTGGCGTTCAAACCCGATAGCACATTCGCATGGAAATACGCAGAATTGTCCACTGCTCCAACGTCCGGTGGAACTTGTTAAACTGAAGCGGTTGAACTGGAGTTCTTGAAAGTGCTGGTGAGGTTGGTCAGCATTTCTATATGGTGTAGTTTTCCGTTCTCACACTTTCTCACCTGTTTCTTTGTGGTGGTCGTAGCAATTTGAGGGCAGTGGATACCCTTCTTAGCAAATGAGCTGAGCAAAAATCCGGAAACTGCCTCAAGGGCACTCTTCGGTACCATAATCATGAACGGTCAAATGACGGTGAGATCAAAGTCCGATTGGTGTTCCACTGGAGATTTGAATATCAAAGGCTGGGGTACTAAAGTCACAATCATGGGGTATAAAACCTAGAACCAAAATAACGGGCTGGTGGTTGAAGAATTAACTATTTCCAACCACAATTATTTCTCAGACTTCTTGCATGATGATGCCCAATGGCAGTGTGATTTTTTGTGAGGGATTGGCTCAACCACAAACCAGCACTTGTTTTGAGCCATTTTTGGAATCAGCGACAGTGACGACAGATCTCATCGAGACTGTTCCTTGCGCATCGCAGCACGGACACCGCTTTGGAGGTCCACATCGTGGGAACGAAATCCTTCAGGGAGAAAAAAGGACCGCAATTGTGGGCTGATTATGTGAAATAGGATCTATGGTAGTGCAACAGGCTAACTTTCAGCTCATGTACCTTTCCTCTTCAGGAATACTGTGCCAGGCAACTGCCGCACCACTAGCAGTTGCGATCTCCTCATATCTACTCAACAATTCAAGTGAGAACAAAGGCTCTACTTGGGCGCAGTTCCAGTTGTAAATTAAAACCACCACGTCCTAAGGGATGCGTATCAGCATCATGAAACTTGAGATCCAATCTCCGAACAACAAAATTGCCATAATCGACGCGACATGACACGCACACAGGTGGTGTTCAAAAAGCACCCGAGACGTTTCTAAGGGGCGCTTTAAACAGACCCCTTTTGTTAAGGGGCGCTGATTCTAAAGCAACCCTCTACCGACTGACACGACGCGTGAATTGACACGCAGTTTTTTTCGAATCTCTCCTGCACGCGGAAGTGCGCCAGGAAATCACAAGAAATGCACACACTACTTTGAATACCTCAATATATCTGTTAGTTCAGGACCTGAAAAAAATCCAGGGCGCTTTACACTTATCCCCCTTCAGTGGTGCTTAATAGGCATCCGTTGGTACACCCGTCATATCCATTCCAATCATTCGCTGGCGCCAAGGTGGTTCCTCCCCTGGCAGCAATCGTTTCCTCCAGGTCAAGCTGGAGCTAGTTGTGCGTGTGATTTTTGTATGATATTGTGGGATTATTTAATATTATTTAATACATATATATATACAGTACATATGTATATATATATACACAGTACATATGTGTATATATATATATATATAGAGTGAGAGAGAGAGAGATATCATTAAAAAACTATGTCATTAGGTGTCATTATATCATTGTATCATTAGATGATATATATCATTGTGTATGTTCAGAATACAGTTCGTCAATCCTGTGCAGATTATATCTATCAACAGTTAAAATATATATATATTATACATGTACATCGATTTGTACACATATATCGACATATATAGTTTGGTTTTTGTATGATATATATATATATATACACAGTACACACGCACACATCGCTCTGCACACAGCAATCAATCTCAGAACGTGAGAAGGGTCTGGAGGAGCCTGTACTCCCACTGAAATCCAGGTCCTGTCAAAACGTGACTTTTGCCAAATAAATGGAATTCTGAGTTTGTCCTCGAATTCAACAGTTTGCAAAGTCTTTCAACCAGCTGAGCAGTGCTCAAAACTTCTTTTGGTTGATGATTAGTTCGGGGGTTACATCAACAGATACTAGCCAATATATTCGGGATTATCACAATCCATTATGGGAACATACAATCAACTAACCAGGATAGCCGGAGTTTATGAGGATTATTAGGCTGCACCCCCCTTAAATCTGCCCAAGCCTCGGACGCTTCGCAGGGGTCGCTTGGTGTTAAGAAGAGCGCGAGGAGCCTTCAAGGGAGAGAAGAAAGGCCCGAAGTGGACCAGACATATTACCAAAATCAAAGCACCAACAATTATTGTGGCAAACCCAATAATCAACCCAATAATTTCACAAAAGCGAATTGAATGTGGTCAACAGATTAAACACCATCATAGACACAATCATGAACCCAATGATATCACAAAAACGCATTTAATTTGATAAACCCAATCATAAACCCAATTATGTATAAACCCAATATGTATAATATACACCAAGATGCAACAATTTCATGTCGTCCACCCGATCATAAACCGAATCTTAAAGCCAATAACATCACAAGAACCGAGTTTAATGTGGTAAACCAATGCCATAAACCTCCCATTTTGGGATGGTTTCAACGGGAATAGTCTTGGGCATCACAGAAAAAGTGGTGCTCCTCAAACCCCCTGCTGATATTTGCTGAAGATGTTCACAAACAGAAAACTAATGGGCATAGTGGGTATGTTCCAAAATGGGATACTGAATTAGATACTGAAATTAATCGAATTTTAAGGATGAAGACACAAGTGGGGAAGGTAAAACCATGTATATACAGCCAATTGTTGTGGGTGGGTTGTCACCCGTTGTCACTTCGAAGCGGATCATTCCCTCAGTGTTCCTCAGGGGTCGAAGTGACCCAGTTGCAGACCCGAGAGGACTCAGCGGAGAAAACCCAGTGGAGTGCAGTACTTTTGCTGTGGCCAAAAGTTATTCTGAAATATGTCATGTTCATAGGAATGCTACAGGTGTATTACAATTGTCAATAGGGCCAAAACTGAAAATGTCTCAAAACTACAGGGTTGGAAACAGAAATGGGTATGGGTCAATACCTATAGTAATCCATTTTTAGTGGCTTATTCACATCCATTTACCATCCCAGCTATGACTTGGGGTTCACGAATGGTACCAGGGTGCCATGACCCATCCCCAAATGACCAACTCTGTGGTGACCTTCTCAGTATGCAGGACAGCCCAGCGGAGCTGCCTCCAGCGCTTGGCATAGGTGTGGAGGAGCGATCCAGTGGGGGGTCAATGATGTTTAGCCATGTTTGCTGGTTAGAAATATAAAAAATGGTATAATTGATATATATTTTTTTAATATGTTTATACTATTGTTGTTTTTATGTTTATTAACAATGTCTTAGTTTTACTATTGAAATATTGATCTTAGTGTTATTGTTCTTTTTATTTCTGCAATATTTATTATGGTAGTAATGGGGATGATCTCAGTATAACGGCGCACTGTAATTTCTTTTGGTGGATGAACATCCTACGAGATTGTCAGCTAGGTTGATGTTCAAACCGGGGTGACGTTGTGTGATGGTGTGTGTGTGGGGTCCACAGCCATGCCACAGGGTCAGTTCCCAGTGATTGCTGACGTCTGTCAAATTTCGAACCGCGGTTTCTCAGCCATGCAGTAGCCCCAATTAGTCCACTTTTAAGCAGTGAATATTACGTACGTACTGTCCTTGTATGAATCCTTGGTAACAAGAAGCAGTTACGTACCATGACCATGAAAGATGATTTTAAACCAGTGATGATTCGTGTACTCTTTCGCGAGTGAGGTGAATCAGCAACCAAGGTCAGTAATACAGAAACTCCCATTCCAGTTGTAGGGATCCAAATTGTAGATCTGTAGGCAGGTCTGTACCGCCTGTGCAGGTTCTCGTTCATGACATGAACATCCCTTGGTACCCATGAATTTTCCATCAACCCCAAAACTAATATCACATTCTTAGTATATATATATACATGTGTTTTTCTAACCCCGCCAGAAACTTACCATTTTACAGTAATTTGTTTTACTGGTATTTACCAATCTTTTTTGCTTATTTTGCAGTTTCAACAAATGCTTTATATTTCGAGCTGATTTTCAGGCTTTGCACACATGAATGTGATGATGTTTGATGATATGTATAGATACGAGGCCATATTTTTTGCTGGTATCTGCAGTAGTTTTGGATATTCTATTGTGCTCCTAGCAGATGGTTATAGTCCAGGCGTTCAAAACATGGCCACGGCGCTGTGGCCAAATGCAAATTTTCAGGATACACTACTTTGAGCTAAGCAGGTGGTTGACAGTCAAACATGTACAAAATGAGCACAGCATGGAGGCCAAACCCAAATTCGCAGATTTGTATGGGTATTTAGCATTTTTGGGATGGTATATAGATAGTTATATATATATATATCACTTCAGATTTCCATATTCTGTGATTTTACATTTATTATTTTAGTAAATATTTGATGAAGTAGAGGCAACAGAGTAAGAACAAATTGTTGATCAGCCATTTTTTGTATATATATAAATAATGAAAATACCTGTAGTATAGTTTCAACCTGCCGCTAATATATCAGTCTACTAACCATGAATAATACATTTTTAAGATATCATATATATATATATATATATATCCTTAATAGATCATCTGTATACATTTTAAATACCATTTGATACTTCAAATACACCTTGAATACACATTTAATTTACCATTTAATATGCGTTTAGTACACTTTTCATATACCGGTTTATTGGCCATGAGTATATCATTAATATACCTTTAATATGCCTTTAATATACCTTTTATTTACCATTTGGTATGCCTTTAAGTTACACATTAATATACCTTTAGTCGTCCACTTCATATACCATTAATAGATAGTCCATTAAGATACCATTCTTAACATACCATTTCATACGTGCCATTTTATATGCCCTGTTCACCGTTAGCAAAATTGAATATACCTTGAACACATACCGCTAACATGAATTGTTATAGGCCGTTAGCATACCGTTTGATAAACATAAGTATCTTGAATACATGTATGGTACCTGTAGTTTACCTTCAACCTACATTTTCATGCCTTTAACATACCATTTAATATACCTTTCATCTACCACTTCATATACCTTTAGTATACCGTTTAAACTAATAGCTAACATGACTGTATCTTCAATATGCCTGCAATGTACCTCTAATATACCTTTAAAAGGCGTTTGATACACCGTTCAAAATACTTGTAAAATACCTTCAGTATACCATTTTGTATACCTTTAGAATACCATCTAATGTACCTTTCAATAGACCATTTGATTTATCACAAAATATCTTTAGTATACCTTCAAAATACCGACATAAGTATCATTTACCATGTACTACACCTTCAATATACCGTTTCATATACAACCTTCAATACACCGCCTAACTTTACATGAGTATGCCTTGCATATACATGTAACTTACCTTTCATAGACTTTAAATATACATCAATATACAATTGTTTATCATTTTTTATATCTTGAATATATTTGCAATCAACCTGCAATATACCTTAATATACCAATTAATATGCCAGTTTATATACCTTGAATACACCCGTCATATACCTTCATACACCTTTATCATACCATTTTAGATTCCTTTAGTATACCTCTAAGATATCATGTTGTTGGCCATTCAATATATTCAATATACCTCCAGTATACCTTTAATACACCTGTATTGGCCATTCAATTTAATATATTTAATGTGCCTTCAATATGCCATTTGGTTGACTTTGAAAATATCCTCAATATACCTTTAGATTTATCTCTAAATATCATCTAATACACCTGTGATATGCCTTTCAAATCCCATGTAGCATACCTTTGGATGCCAGGATGTACCTTCGTACTTTAGCGAAATTCCAGAACAAACGTTTGCAAACGTTTGTCCTGGAATTTCCCTTAAGTACAATCTGTATATCGATATGTCTAGATTATGGTACCCCTGGGACATGACATTAATTACAAATGTAATATTCTCATGGCTGTTCTATATATATATATGTATGTATGTATGGTAACCCCTTCGGACTCAACCATGTGGTTTCAGGGGGGGGTACCATTTATGTATATAGATATAGGTATAGATATTATTATCGATATCGCACTGAAAATTCTCCCATTAGTCCGATATATACCTAGTGATATCCCATCAAAATATCCCACAAAACCTATCGATATACACCTGCATCATCCAAAGATGTTGCATTGTTTGTTTTTTCAAAGAAAACGTCAGTTCATTCCAAGTACATCCAAGTTCAATTAGTGTTGGCTGCGAGTGTTTTGCAACACTTTCGTATTTGTCAGAGTTTTTAAAAAACGGCGTTCTGACCCGACTAAACAGCGTTTTACCCGACCAAACGGTGTTCTTTTCCCGACCGACCAATTTTTTTGACATTCTTGACACACTTTCAGACTGAGCAAACATGTTTGTTGCTGCAAAGAATCATGTTTGGCTGGAAACCATTAAAACCTTAGTTGTTTCGTACGGTATAAAGTTTGCGTACATGGAAGTTCCAGGTATGTATGTATGACAACCCACAAATTGATGGAATCAAAAGTCCAATCCGAATCCAAAGAAGTCCTGAATCCGACGGTCTACAAGAACCATTCCACAAGACAACGAACTGCATGTTACAAATACTAATATACATCAAACTTACTGTTTCTGAAATTCCATCTAAAGTCAAATCTCAAAAAAATAATTCATACAATGTCATACATCATAAATTACGTTGAATCATTGAATCGATTTTTCGGTTTTTTTTGCAGTTATACATGAAGATCAGCCATTCCCCAGGGCCTGGGCTGCCGAAAACACCACAGGATTTGGCCGATGACGTGGCTGATGCCCTGGCCAACGACTTTGACGAAGTTTCCGAGGACGAGGACCGGTGGAAAGCCGATGACTGCCCCATGATTTCGTGGGAAAACAATGGAAAACATGTGTTTAGCATGTCTTTAGCCGTTGTGAAAAAATTGTCCAATATTTTCAGCCGTCCATGGCTTTGTCATCAACTTCCACATTTCGACTCCTGAGGACGCAACATCGGACGAGGAGATTGAGTTGCTCTTGTCAGATGGTCGGTTGGCAAAGCATGAATTGGTGCTATAAGTTGGCTGTATCCCTTCGTCAAAATGGTGTTTGCTGGATTCTAAATTCGTGCATTTCGTTTCATTTCACAAGAGATACAAGAGTAATTGTGTTTGTGCCTTGCAAACAGTGACAGTTGTGCGCGTTGGCCACGGCTGCACATTTGCTCCAACGGGTTTCCAAGCCAACAGACAGTGCACATGGTGAGGACGAACTTCTGATGACACGGCAAATTCATCAACGACTGCCAAGGACGGAAGAAAGGAGTTGTCGTTTTTTTGCGGTTCATTACATGCAAAACATTGGATATCTACTGTAGAAGAATGCGTCAAATGCTCTTAGACTCATAAACAAGATCACTTCCAACACATGAATGGTGTGGCACAGTGGCACCAAGAACTCCGTTTGTCGGATCGACGGCCCAGGATGACCCGGAGCTTCAAGAAAGCGCGGCTGCGCTGGTCAGAAGACGGCCGCAGAGTCTATTTTGACGATGAGGGTGAAGAGATGGACCCCTTCAGAGGACGCCGCAATCGCTGAGCCGGGGGACCAGTGGAAGATGGCGGTACCATTTCAGTATCTTTTGGGGGTGGACATCCCTAAATCCCAGCTATTTTGAGGTGAACTGGAGCCCCAAAAAAGTTCCAAAGGTGAACTGATAGCTGATAGCTGTCTCAATGATTTCGTCATGGTTTCATAAAGTTGGGCGTAATGGTGTTGTATCGCCGGGTCCTCAAATGATGGTAATCAACAGTAGCCCTAAGTTTCTTGAATATTTGGGGGTTAGCATTTTCAAATATTTTCAATGGTCATTTGTCGCGGGTCTTGGTCCCCCCCAAATCATAGTCAGGTTGGTGGTTTGGAACATGAATTTTATTTTTCTATATATATATATATTGGGAATGTCATCATCCCAACTGACGAACTCATATTTTTCAGAGGGGTAGGTCAACCACCAACCAGAATTAATTGGATATTAGATTATCAGACTACTATTATTGGATACTGATATTATTAAACCTATTCTATGAAAAAATGGTAAACAGGGTTTAGTCTCATCCAGGGTTGACCTTCGCTGGCATGGCTTCGGCAAGGACTGAGTCGTGAAAGTTCCGCGAAGGCTGATGGTAGTCCAAAGGCCCCTTGGGACAACGTTGGAACGTCAGTTGAGGACTGCCCAACTATAATGGCTATAGAATGGGGATATATTGAGGATATATGGGATATTGGGGATAGGAGATCTTTGTCTAACCGTGGAAAAGGACTTGTAAATTGAAAGTCTGCTGGTTCTGGTCATTTTCCTTCGTGCGACTCCTTGATGTTTGCAAAGGTTCAGAGAACTCTTGAGGAGACTCAAATCTCTATGGCTGCTAGTCAAATCTCTACCATGCTTCCACGGAAAACTGTTTCCCAGAGAAATAGGTGAAATCAAACGTCCAGAATGAATATCAAAACTTTTAATCACACACACACACTAGATGAGTTGAATGGTTTGGATTCGTTGAGCAATGTTGAGCAGTAGACGTGTTTTTAGTCAATTGATAGCCCGTTTGTGGTTGCCATCTCCATGTCAAGTTTCATCTTGTTTTTGAATCTGTTTGAGCTTCTGGTTTGAAGGTGGCACCAAAAGAGCTTGAGGCACGAATTCGGCAGAGTTTCTGAGTTCTGCATCTGTTTTTATCGGCAGATTCGTTGACCACACGAGACTGGTTGTTCCAAGATGTTCCAAGATGTTCTAAGTATACCCTCTGGTAAACTAACATAACTATGGGAAATCACCATTTTTCATGGGAAAATCCACTATAAATGGCAATTTTCAATAGCTATGTTAGTCATTACCAGAGGGTATAGATTGGATATGATTGGATCAAAAATCGGATGGCTACCGGGTAGGTTTAGATCCATGGAGATCCTCAGTTTAGACACTGCAACAACTCAGGTGGAGGTGGCCCCAGAGGGCTTGGATCCGGAGCGACCCCGCGACGTCAATGGAGGTTTCCTAAGTCATGGTACCCCAAATCATCCCATATAGACCATGACTTAATGGGGATTAATGGTGACTTAATGGTGGTTTAATAGTGACTTAATGGGTTTTGATGGTGACTTAATGGGGATTAATGGTGGCTTAATGGGGATTAATGGTGGTTTGGAACATGAATTTTATGTTTCCATCTATTGGGAACAATAGACACCCAACTGACGAACTCATATTTTTCAGAGGGGTGGCTCAACCACCAACCAGCTTGGTATTGAAACAACCCCCATGGCCCATGAATGTGCAGAAACCCCCATGGCTGTGCGTAAAAAGAGCAGAAGCTGCAGGTCTTCAGCCTGACTTTTTCGGAACTGGGATTTCGGATTTCAGTCTTGACCCGACTGTTGATGTTTGAAACGATTCGGGAAACTACGGCGGAGGAGAAAACAATCTTCGGTACGGAGAACCAAAGCTTTAGAGACTTGGGCATTACCAAGTCAACTCTTTGTGAGGTCTGGCACCTCAGATTTTGCCAGGTTGCTGCTGCAGGTTACTGGGTTTTGTGGTATTTTCTTCAAGAAAATTTGATTTGGGCAGACACATGGTTCAAGAAAGAGTGCCCAAATTTTGTGAATTATAGATGATGCCTGATTTTTTGGGATTGAGCTTACAGCGTTTACAACACCATAAAACAAATCGAAGCAACCTTTATGCATGTCATGCAACCTAGCGCTGCGCTTGGCCCGAGAGGTGAAGCGACCCAGAATGGGCCCCCTTCTGTAGATGATTCTTTCAACAAATTGGGCATGTTCATTTGCCAATTTGCCATGATTCCAAACGGTATTCCTGCACTTCTGATGCGTAATTAAATCCTGTTCAACCCCCTTTTGAAATCGTGTTTTATCTCTTCCAATCCATCTAGAATCTTTCTTTACCAGCTTTGACATCGTTTGAAGAAGCCGACAAATGGTGAATCTATAACACCAACTATCACCAGACTTGTTTGCTATAGTTGATTTTTGAATGTTATATATATATTTATATGTATATAATTATATATATGGTTCTATAGTTTGGCTTTAGACACCACTGAATACTCCTTTGCTAGCTGTTTCCAAGACACTGAGGCCTTAGATTCCCTAGGCTTCCAGCGCGCTACGAAGATCCAGGCGTTGTCGATGTCGCGGTTCCATCTTTTTTGGGGGTTACTACAATTCTAGCAAAATCTTACCCATATTCCAAGGCTGTTCATATTCCATGCCAAAATAGCTCCGGAAGTTTGGAAAATAATGAACGACCTTTGATGGTGAGAATGAGGGTGTGTGACCCTTGTCAGGCGCACCTTTTCCCTTGGCACGTGCTGTCATGTCCAATCGCACATGTTTACCGCTAAGACCCTTTGATTCCACAGCTTCTCAAACAATGATTTCTTGAATAAACATAAAGTCTTGTGTTTCTCTCATCAATCATCAACTTCTCTATAGGATCTTTTAAGACCATTGGATAAGCTGTTCAGCTTATTTTTTTGACGCGTTTGGCTGGCGGTTCAGCTTCCGCATCCGCAAACTGGGCCAAGTCTGGATTTCGCTGTTCTTCCTCGAACCCAAATGGTACCATATTTCCATTGAATACACTTACATTGAGTAGGATGCCACCCCTGGAGTACGATGCCCCCCTGGTATGCGTTGCCAGTCCTGCATGTGGGATTCTCAAGCATATGTTGACATCTTTTTGGGTCAAATTGGGGTCAGAAATTCCACTCCATATACCCAGAGAGCATCACACTCCATCCTGCACGGCTAGCACCACAACCGAGGATTTCCATAGCCTCCACAGGTCTAAAGTATCAAAATTTGATGGAATACGATTGTATGCGCGACTCTTCAAAACGCTGGAAAAACAACGATTTCCCCCATATTCCATATTATCATATTCCAGAGCATTTTACCTCCAACGAGAAAAAAAATTAAAAAAACCTCGTCAGGTTCATTTTTTTAAAAAATGGTTTTTGGCTGTATGCGACGGTTTTTCTGGTATACTATGCCTTTTGTGGAGTACGAAGATCTGTGAGTATATGTGGAGTGCGATGGGGTCCTCTGGAGTGCGATGACACCTCTCGAGTGCGATGCCACATGAGTATGCGCGGCGGGAAATCCCCTGAGAGAAGGATTCTGGGCCACAATTCCCCAAATTCAACAACAGAGCGGATGCTGGTTGTTGTAGTTTAACAGGATTTCAGCCCATTCAACAAACAAGTCACACAATATTTTGAAACCCTCTCCTACTTCAGTCTCCAAAATGGGAAACTCACCTATCAGGGCACGCTTTAGCTCATCCAGGCTCCATAGCATTTCAGGAACAACACAAGGCATCGACATGGTGCCAAACAATTTCCAAATCGAGCTGAAAGGTCTTCCCACCGCAACCAGTCAATTCACAGGTGTGAAACATGTCACACACAGGGAAACAGGTTGGGAAAACAATGGGTCCAAAGAGACAGGTCTGGAGTACGATGGATTCATGATATAGGTAAATTTTCTGAATTTGCGTAACTTGGAGCTAGAAACAATACCCATAGGATCCATGGTGCTGGTATATATGCCAACATTTGGGGTATATTGATGGTAAATGTATGTAAATGTTACCATAAGTAACATATATATCCATATATAGCAGCACCATGGATCCTATGGGATTACGGAAAGCGTTTCCAACGCTTGGAAGTTTTTCCGGTAGGGGGGGGCGGTACAGATTTGCAGATTTTGGGGTTCCAAATGGGTGTTGAGGAGGTGCAAAAAACACTGTAAATTACAGTAAAATTTGCTCTTTGGGGAGAATTGCAAGGAGTCAAGTTGCTGCAAAAAGTGCGTTTTACCTGCACGGGAGCCAAATTTTGTCGTTTTTGTTGTTTCGAGGGAGGTGGGCCTAAAACGTGCTATTTGTAAAAAAAAACACTGCAAATACCGTGAAAAACTGGCTTCTTTGCACTTTGATGTCCTTTCTTCGTTCTACATAGTCCCACGACGGCGCACCATGGCCCCAAGATAGGCCAACACAAAGCCAAGATGTCCCAACATAGAACCCAGGAACGCCCAACATAGTCCCAAGATGGGCCAACATAGGCCCAAGACGACCCAACAAAACCCAACATGGTCCCAACATAGTCCCAGGATGGCCTCAAGATAGGCCAACAGAGAGCCAAGATGGCGCAACATTGACCTCAGCAACACCCAACATAGTCCCAAGATGGGCCAAGATAGGCCCAAGACGTCCCAAGATGGTCCAACGTAAACCTAAAATAAAGTAAACGTAGGCCCGAAGCAACCCGGGGGAGGCAACATAGTCCCAAGATGTGCCAAAGAAAACCCGACGAAACCCAGCATAGGCCCAAGACAACTCAACAAAACCAAACATAGTCCCAACATAGTCCCAAGATGGGCCAACATAGACCCAAAATAAAGTGAACATAGACCCAAAGCAACCCAACAGTAGCTGCAACAAATAAGTTTTCACGTGCGTTTGGCTATATTAGTTTTCCTCCTCTTGAAAAGGGGGGAGTGGGGTTTGACGAATGCTTGGCCGCTGCATCCACTTGGTTAAGAGTTCATGCACTCACAGTACGAGCAACAAAGCAACAAACGGAACATACAAGCATATTGCGAGACGCACCGCAAAGAACAGCACCAACAACATCAACAACCTCAACAGCACAACAACCTCTAAGACAACGAGAACAGAAACAGGAACAACCAGAAGCACAACAAGAACACCAGCAAGAACAAGATTGGCACCAACATAGTGAGAATTGCAAGGAGTCAAGTTGCTGCAAAAAGTGCGTTTTACCTGCACGAGAGCCAAATTTTGTCGTTTTTGTTGTTTCGAGGGAGGTGGGCCTAAAACGTGCTATGTGTAAAAAACACTGCAAATACTGGCAAATACCGTGAAAAACTGGCTTCTTTGCACTTTGATGTCCTTTCTTCGTTCTACATAGTCCCACGACGGCGCAACATGGCCCCAAGATAGGCCAACACAAAGCCAAGATGGGCCAACATAGGCCCAAGACGACCCAACAAAACCCAACATGGTCCCAACATAGTCCCAGGATGGCCTCAAGATAGGCCAACAGAGAGCCAAGATGGCGCAACATTGACCTCAGCAACACCCAACATAGTCCCAAGATGGGCCAAGATAGGCCCAAGACGTCCCAAGATGGTCCAACGTAAACCTAAAATAAAGTAAACGTAGGCCCGAAGCAACCCGGGGGAGGCAACATAGTCCCAAGATGGGCCAAAGACAACCCGACGAAACCCAGCATAGGCCCAAGACAACTCAACAAAACCAAACATAGTCCCAACAAAAATAAAGTGAGCTTAGACCCAAAGCAACCCAACAGTAGCTGCAACAAATAAGTTTGCACGTGCGTTTGGCTATATTAGTTTTCCTCCTCTAGAAAAGGGGGGAGTGGGGGAGGACGGTGTAGTTGAGTGCGGGGGCCCGGTTTGACGAATGCTTGGCCGCTGCATCCACTTGCTTAAGAGTTCATGCACTCACAGTACGAGCAACAAAGCAACAAACGGAACATACAAGCATATTGCGAGACGCACCGCAAAGAACAGCACCAACAACATCAACAACCTCAACAGCACAACAACCTCTAAGACAACGAGAACAGAAACAGGAACAACCAGAAGCACAACAAGAACACCAGCAAGAACAAGATTGGCACCAACATAGTCCCAAGATGGGCCAACATAAACCCAAAATAAAGTGAACGTAGGCCCAAAGCAACCCAACAGTAGCTGCAACAAATAAGTTTTCACGTGCGTTTGGCTATATTAGCTTTCCTCCTCTAGAAAAGGCGAGTGTTTGGCCGCTGCATCCACTTGGTTCAGAGTTCATGCACTCACAACGATATTAAGACAGTACGAGCAACAAAGCAACAAACGCAACATACTAGCATATTGCGAGACGCACCGCAAAGAACAGCACCAAGAACATCAACAACCTCAACAGCACAACAACCTCTAAGACAACGAGAACAGAAACAAGAACAACCAGAAGCGCAACAAGAACACCAGCAAGAACAAGATTGGCAAATAGCTTCGTCACGGGGAGTGGCATTTGACCCAACAAAACCCAACATAGTCCCAACATAGTTCCAAGATGGTCCAACATAAACCTAAAATAAAGTGAACATAGGCCCGAAGCAACCCCGGGGGGGCAACATAGTCCCAAGATGGGCCAAAGACAACCTAACAAAACCCAACATAGGCCCAAGACAACTCAACAAAACCCAACCTAGTCCCAACATAGTCCCAAGATGGGCCAACATAGACCCAAAATAAAGTGAACATAGACCCAAAGCAACCCAACAGTGGCTGCAACAAATAAGTTTTCACGTGCGTTTGGCTATATTAGTTTTCCTCCTCTAGAAAAGGGGGGAGTGGGGGAGGACGGTGTAGGTGAGTGCCGGGGCCCGGTTTGACGAATGTTTGGCCGCTGCATCCACTTGGTTAAAGGAGTTCATGCACTCGCAACGACATTAAGACAGTACGAGCAACAAAGCAACAAACGCAGCAAAAAACAGCACCAAGAACATCAACAACCTCAACAGCACAACAACCTCTAAGACAACGAGAACAGAAACAAGAACAACCAGAAGCACAACAAGAACACCAGCAAGAACAAGATTGGCAAATAGCTGCGTCACGGGGAGTGGCATTTGACCCAACAAAACCCAACATAGTCCCAACATAGTTCCAAGATGGTCCAACATAAACCTAAAATAAAGTGAACATAGGCCCGAAGCAACCCCGGGGGAGCAACATAGTCCCAAGATGGGCCAAAGACAACCTAACAAAACCCAACATAGGCCCAAGACAACTCAACAAAACCCAACCTAGTCCCAACATAGTCCCAAGATGGGCCAACATAGACCCAAAATAAAGTGAACATAGACCCAAAGCAACCCAACAGTAGCTGCAACAAATAAGTTTTCACGTGCGTTTGGCTATATTAGTTTTCCTCCTCTAGAAAAGGGGGAGTGGGGGAGGACGGTGTAGGTGAGTGCCGGGGCCCGGTTTGACGAATGTTTGGCCGCTGCATCCACTTGGTTAAAGGAGTTCATGCACTCGCAACGACATTAAGACAGTACGAGCAACAAAGCAACAAACGCAGCAAAGAACAGCACCAAGAACATCAACAACCTCAACAGCACAACAACCTCTAAGACAACGAGAACAGAAACAAGAACAACCAGAAGCACAACGAGAACACCAGCAAGAACAAGATTGGCAAATAGCAGCGTCACGGTCACATCTACTCAAATTATAGATCACCATTGTGTTGCATACAATACACTCTACACTACTGCTACCTCCAATCAACTCCTCATACGCACTATATAGATACACCTATGGCATCCAGCACATGCTGCTTCCAGCGCCGTCTCACCACTTCCCACAGTTCCCGCGCCATCGAAAAACAACATGGTGCCAATGCATGTCACATACTGACACGCTTTCCGTTTTTTCCGAACTGGTATGCAGATTACCAAAGATTTTTTAGATCACATCAGATGACTGAACAGAACACTACGGATCATTAATTTCTACCGACGCGAAAAAAGCAGCGATGAATATGATTCACCTTTATTTTTGTAGTTGTTGGTGGCCAGTAAGCCCGTAATAACACCCTTAATATCGGGACTCATTATCTATAATAAGCCCTTGATAATGGATGGTAGGGATTAACCCTTATTGTTGTGGTTCTTGATCGTCAACACTCACCCTATCCATTTACCCCAACAATAATTAAATTGCCGGAATGACCTTCAAAATATTTAAAAAAATGGTGGTCAATCCGCCCTTGTGTTTGTCGACAGTTCCATGGTGTTGTTTCATGGTAATTATAGATCCATTAGATCCCATACGATAGATATGATCTTGTGCTACAAATCAATGGCCGTTTCAGGGACCTTTTTTTTTTAATTGGAGGTACCAGATACAAGGGCATACCAGGGCTAAATAAGGGAATATCCATGAATATCCCCACAAAACGTGGCCTAAAAATCGCCACGATTCGCCTTGGTTGCTGTGGTTCTTCGGATCGAGGATCGACCGTTGGATCCGCCGGAGGCTGCCAGCATCCCTTCCGTTCTCTCGGAGGATCGTCGTGCCGTGGTCATTAGCTCCGAGACGGGCTCAGGCGCACTGGTTATTCCAAGATGCCAGTAGAAGTTTTGAGTATCATGTACAGACTAAATATGTATAATATATATATATATACACATTTAAAATGCATATAAATATATACACCTATGCCTATATACGTGGGGCATCATGGACACACACAAGCATGCCTGACATGTTTGCAAATTAGATATGTTTGTTCGTGATTGGTTGCATCATACACATCATACACATCATATATAACATATATATATACATACATACATACATACATATAATCATATACTTATATATTATCGTTTTGCATATATATATATATATATCACTCCCGATCTATCATCATATATCATAATTGCTCAGAATTACTCGGAAATGTGAAGAAAACTTGCAGGCTGGAGCCACCTGAACCATGAAAAAATACCCTTGTTCATTGGTGAATATAGGGACTTATGACTTTTACTATAGCTCATTTATTGGGGATCATGATAACCCGTATGTGCCATAGGGAAACCCACCTGATGTCCTTGGTCCAGGAAAGACCTTGGCCTACTTAGTGCCAGCTTTCGAGCTCATTCTCCGGGCACCTCCTCGTTTGGAAGGCGACACCAACCACGCAGCGGCATGTTTTTGGGTGGCTGAAGATTCGAAAACTCATGGTTTGTAGATGTTTCATGATGTTTGTAGATGTGTGATTGATGTGTTTGTGTGTGTGCTTCATAAATTGAATGACCGAAATATCCGATGTGTTCTTTCGTGGGCGCCCTGTTTTTTTTTCTGTTTCAGCTCCAGAAAACCACTGCGAGGTGATCGACATCCCAACGTGCTGATCCTTGTGCCAAGTTTGGAGCTGGGGGTGCAAGTGACGCTAGTGGCGCAGCAGATTGCCCAGGCCTGGCGCCGCAACGCGCTACCCTTCGAAAAGTCACCCTTCGAAAAGTCACTGAAATGATGATTCGTAAAAGTAACATGAGGTAACTATTCCCTTGGGTTTATAGATGATTTTCGCATGAAAACCCCTTTTATGATAGATGATTTTCCCATGAAAAACCCCCTTTATAGATGATTTTCCCATGAAAACTTGAAAACTCCCTTTATAGATGATTTTCCCATGAAAACCCCCTTTATAGATCTTTATAGTAACGGACAAATACTTAGAACCTCATTTGGAACAAGAATGGCAAGCCTTCACAGTGGGGATGTTCCAAGTATCACTTAGAACCTCAGGAAAAAAACATATACTTAGAACATATCCAACACATATACTTGGAACATCCCAGGGGGAACCAATGGGAACCATATAGATGTTCGAAGTGTTTGTCCCCCAGAGATACTATACTGTACACTTTTTCTGAACTAAGATAGGGAGAATCTCCAGCGATGATCAATCCTGTGTTCATACAGCTCATGATTTTTAAAAGATATCATACATATGAACGTGCATTTGGAAGACTGTATACATATATATTTATATACACAGAATTCCAGCCAAAACTGAATCCAATTTCTTCTTGGCCATCCAGTTCCTTATCCACCTTATCTTGAGGGCTTGCGCATAGACTCCACTTGGCTGAGTTATATTCTTGGTTTCCTGCCCGCAGGTAGGTGGCAGAGACTACACTTGGAACATCCCAGATTATGTTTTAAATGATCTAGACGCGTGATTCCGTTCCTTATCTTAAAGGACTGTGGATAGACTCCATTTGGCTGAGTTGCACCTTTCGTATTCTTCGTTTCCAGGATGCCCACAGCTAGGTGGTAGATATCTAGACGCGTTTATTCATCGTGATTCAGCCCCCTATCTTGAGGGCTACTGGCAGTAACTGAAACCTATGCTTTGTACTATTGAAACCTATGCTTTGTACTATTGAAACCTATGCTTTGTACTATTGAAACCTATGCTTTTGGGCTACCCAAAAATCATCCTCATCAGAAAAACCTCCAAAGTTCAGAGACCAATATCCCATTTCAGCTAAGAAAAGGTATGGGATATTGTGAAGGAAAGGCAGTTTTTTCAGCAGCACTGAGGGGGACAAAGTGTTCTCAGTGTGGTGTTCACAAAGGTATTTGTGCGTATACATGCAGATTTGCCAAAGTCAATGGAAATGTTCTAAATATCTGGTCTGTTTATGTTCAAAGTATGCAAAAATCAATGCAGATGTTCTAAGTATATGTCCTTTGGATGTTCTAAGTGCGCACTTAGCACACTTTCCATGTTCTAAGTATAGTGTCCGTTTATGTTCTAAGTAAGGGGTTGAAAATTTTGGAAAAATATGTTCTAAGTATAAGTCCTTCAATATATAGATGATTGATGATTTTCCCAGCTATAAACCATCTATATAGCTACGTTCCATGACAAAGGTAACTATCCCAAAATAGCCCAGCATTACAGCTTGGATAGCTTGGTGAAGTATTCTGATAAAGGCAGACGGGTCTTTGCTCTACGAAAGACCACATGTTTGTCCTGAATTTCATCATCTTGCAGATGAGAGCAATTCAGTCCAGTCATTTTGTGATCCCATCCGCGAGAAAGACTGATACACCCAGAAACCATGTTTTTTTCGATGTTTCTCTTCGGGATTTACAGCTGGAACCATCCCATAGGGATGCTCAGCGCACGGTGTGCGAGGCGATTTTCAGCCTGGAGCGAAGACAGATCCGCGTGAGCAACGCTCGGCGAAATTGGCCGAGCGAGGTGAAGCCTGGGCGGATGGAGTGCGAAGGATGGAAAAACGATGAAAAACGCCAAGGATCCATAGTGGCCATAACCCTCCGGTGTTGTCATTCGCGTGGTAGCTGGAAAATCCGCGAACTAGCCATGGAATAGCTTGATCACCAGAGGGTAAATCAAGGGGATCTGATGGGATATGTGGCTATGATGATTCGTGCTTAATTTATATAGCCATCTATCAATATCATAGATATGTGTCAAAAATCATGGGATCTACAGTGGTTGAAAAGTGTTTGATGAATGGAACATTGACCAACAAACATGGATAAAAATGGGAGGCTATAACATGGAATAGTTGTGGACAATTGGGATGTAGCATGGCCCCCCAAAAGATGGATGAATCAAGGTCGGTCCCAAGGTCCACTACTCGCTGATAGCCCCACGATGTTCCCGAGGATGGTTTGGTTCTAACATGTGATCTTATCCTCCAAAGATAGCCCACAGTTCCAGAGAATACACCCAGTTCTTGTTGATTGAATCCCCAAAGAAGAGGTGCCAAACGAAACCCTGGGACCTTGCTATTCACAACAAAACTTTGCTACTTTGCCATGGATGTTCATCCCCCATCGACCGATGATCTCGAAAATAAATAAACAGGTATCTGTTGCCCATCTGCTGCACGATATTGTACAATCCTGAGATCCCGCGTTTGTCATTCAAATTCCCATGTCACGAATGTTTAAATCTTCGTGTTTGAAGCTGAAATCCCAATGTTTCATGATATTCGAGTCGCTTCGCGACGAGCACCGCCCACACCCCGATTTGTCTAAAAGGCTCTCAACTTGGGGTCAGCTTTGGCCAGCAAGGCCCCAACTTGGGCCCAACTGGGGTCTAACATGGCGCAACTTGGCCCCAAGTTGGACCCGTTTGGGTTGTGAAGCTGCCGCTAAAGGGCTTGCCTGGGTCGACTTGGGCCCAACTTCAGCCCAAAGTGACCAATTGGTTCCAAGTTGGCCCCTTGTCGATCTCGAAAATGGTTGCCCCCCAGCTGAATTTGCACCACTGAACTGTTATTCACTCGAATCGTTCGGCTGCTAAGCTATCACGCCTTCGGTGCAGGCGGATTTTATGGTTACATCATGTTAAATCTTTCTTTCTCAGGTTTAAATCGACCATTTCTTGCGGTCCCCGGTTTAAACGACCGTGGCTTTTCCCATGGGCCACATGACTTATGGCAGGTCCCCGACATCCTCGTGTGCTCACCGCGAGCGGCTGCACAGGTGATCGCTCCAAAGATTCATGAAATTTGAGATCAGGAATGTTGATGTATAGGTATAGGATGGTATAGGTGATTTATGATAGCTAAGTTGACTCACATAGCTTGATTTGGGATGATTCGGAGCGATTAGGGTATGGGGCTGGGGAGCTGATAGATGATGATTAATCTGGCTTTTATAAAGAAATCCACTACTAGGGGAATCTATAGGGATCGACCCCCCTTCACAAACAGGTCAGTGATATGCGATTATTTACCATGATTTACCCCTTGGTAATCACATGTGGCTCAATGGAAAATCACCGATGAAAGGGTCTATGTTGGGGGTTGTTGGGGGATGGTAAATTGATGTATATAAATTGGTTTGATGGGAAGAGCGGTCATTTTTATGGCTACATAAAGATGGGATATAGATGGATATAGTGGGATGCATTGAGAAACAATATTACATAGGTCATAGGTTTGTCAAAAAATGCGAGTTGACCGTCACTTTATGGTTATGCTCAGGGGAACACAAATACGATAAAATTATGTAAAATCAATAGATCAGAAGGCACAATAGTTTTGGACAAACAAGTTGTTCAAACTAACTACATAGGTTTGGTCACTTTGTAAGTGTGTGTTCAATTTGTTGGAAGATGTTCTTTTTGTAACCAGAACCAGGACAACGACACTGCCTTGCACCTCGTGGGTTTGAACTGTTGCTGCAGTTCTATGTGTCATTTTCCAAATGTTTTCGCACTGAAACTAATCTGCTGCCAGGGTTTAGCTCCTTGCCAAAGTGAAGATGAGATGGCTCGAAAGCAAGCGCTGAAGCGAATCAAAGACGTCGAGGCACCATGGCCACGAAGCTTTCATGAAAAAAACGAATCTAAGCATAGGACCCAGGGTTTTATGCTCCAGCCCGGGTCGTCAAGTAATCAACCTTGTTCAAGTAGGAACCATCAGAACTTGGCAGGTGTTTGGTTGATTTCCACTCAATTAGAGTCAGTATGTCCTTCAAATATTGAAATATGATGAGCTGGATGTGGATTTGCCCTAAAATACATGAAGCCCATGGTTTACAGAACCAATGTCCTATTATCCCATGGCTGTCGAATATAGGTAGCATCCAACATGTTTTTTTAAATATCCAATGTGGGTTTCCACATTGTTTTGACTTGGTGGGCCATTGGTTATTTGGCCAGATGGTGGTCTTTGATGAAGCCGACCTTCTGCTCGACTACGGCAGTCAGAGCAGTGATGTTCAGGCATGGCTTGTGGTTGCTGCACTGGGCAACCGCAGTTGTGTGTTTTTGATGGATGTCAATGTCACAAGATTTGAGTTATATTATATATATAGCTTATACTATACCCATGTTGCACAAGAGCATAGCCTGTTTGATGATGATTAATTATTATTGCTTTAGATGGTCCCAAAGGCAATGTCTCTTGTGAAGACCGTCATTCCCCAATTTGGGTTTGGTCCCAGACCATTCTCTCCCGATTGGAGTGAAAGACCCGAAGTCATGAGATAAGTTTGTCTGAAAATTGACGGGAAATCCATAGACATCTGTAGAAATCAGCTGGTTCATTTTTATTTCCCTAGTGAAAGTGGTCATTTGGATCCATTTTGGTGACCATTCTCGCAGCGAAAGTCATTTACTCTCCACTTTCGCCCAGACTGTGCTCACTGCAATCGCTGCGTTCGGACCTCAAACGCAGAGAGACAAGAGGACACGACAGTTAAGTCCTCCTGTGGAGCAGGTGGATGCAGCTGGATCATTTGGAAAGCCGCCGGCGCTTCAGCGGAACACATACGGAAACTGTGTGAAACTGTCCCAGGTATTTTCCGGATCAACCGAGACTTGTTCAGCCCAGCGCCCAGGCATGAAGATGGTCTTGAAAATCTAGCATGGAACATGTACCTCCGGAGTCCTCAAACATGGCTAGCCGCGAAATCTCCGAACAAGATAATTATAGGGAATTCAAAGGGAAACAAAGGAAAATCATCGAACAAGATATGGGATTTTCATGGATTTTCCATTGGCATGCTTGACGACACCAGAGGGTAGCTCTTTTCGCCAACTGTAGCATGGGCAGGTATACCGACCAAAAGGTATTCCTGTGGAGGTTTTGGACAGACGCTGGGGCCCTGTTTAATTTCATTGATGCCAGTGATTCTTAAAGACTCACAGGACTCATGTATACTCATGTGCTGAGTAAACACAATGTGGTTCACATTCCATTGTGTGTGTGTGTTCCATCATGATGTTCCATCATATTCCATCTTTCTCGTCGTGTTTGTCCTGATGGTCTGCCATTGGTGAAACTTTTTAGTGGCTCTAGATACACTCCGGGGTCTTACGTAAGATCAATTCACGCAAGGCAAACTGTGAATTGTGTTGAGCCACAGCTGATGTGCGAAAGTTGCAAACTCTTAGACTAATAAAATCTAATAAATCCCCTTTTCCTCTACTGTATTCAAAATCACTGCCGCCGCTGTGCCAGCTTTGGAACAGACATAAAGACACATGGAGGTGAGAAGTCACATATTCGGAGCTCGATTGCTGGCAGACCGAATGCAATGAGCCACTGGAACCCACTGCGAGCCATGCTCCCACGAGTGGTTTCGCATGTTGACGGAGTAGACACTAAATCCGTCACAAGCATCATAAGCTGTCCTTACATGTCCTTAAAGTTGCAAGTTGCAAAGTGGCGGATTCATAATTTGAGACTTTGAGATAATCTGAGTATGTAGGTTCAGAAGGTATCAAACAATATCAAAGAGCCAAAACAGCAATCATCAGAAGAGCAGAATGGTTCTAGCCATGGATGATTCCCCAGTATCTCAGGAGGCTGGGATTTTATCAGAGATGATGCAAAAACCATGGCGTTTTCACCACTTTGACCATTGTTAACCTTCACAAGTATCCAGCCCAGGTCTTCTGTGATGAAGGTCGGCCTTGCCATTCTTGGTGTTGGTGAGGAGAATGCGAAGTGGTGTATTGAACAATTTGTTAATCAAAGAAAATTCGATCCATCCATTCCCAATATCACCCAATATCATCCAATATCCACCACATTCCCGCTGTGAAACATTGAAATGGGAACTGTTCATGCTCAAGTATGGTTGAAAGATAGGTCAAGATCTTTTATTTACCATCTGGTTATTTAACATAGCCATGGAAAATCACCATTTTTAATAGGTAAACCATCTAGAATTAAATGGGCCATTTTCCATGGCTATGTTAAATTACCAGATGGTAAGTCCCCTCATTGTTTTGAAAAGGACAGAAGGGATTTTGACTCAGGTCCAACGGAGGATGCACTGCGAAACCCAGGAGACCCGCTTTATCATGATATAACGGGGATAGAATGGGATATGTACTGATATAGACTATATATACAATTATACTATATATTATATTATATATATACATTATATTATATATATTCTATATTATTATATATATATATATGTTTACTAGTATATATAAATTGTATATTATATATTATATTATATATATTTTATATATTATATATATTATATATATTATATTATATTATATTATATATATTATATTATATTATATTATATATATTATGTTATATTATATATATTATTTATATTATATATTTTATATATTGTATTATATATATTATTTATCATATATATATATATATCATATATTAAATATTATTTAATATATATTATATATTATACATTAAATATTGTATATTATATTTTTATATATTATATATTATATATTATATATATTATATAATATTTACTGTTTTTATTATATATATAGTTATTATATTATATATATTATTTATTAAATATAGATTTTATATTATATATATATTATATATTAAATATATATATTTATTATATATTTATTATATATTATATAATATTTTTTTATTTTAATTATATACATTACATATTTTTTATATTAAATATATATATATATATTTTTTACATATTTTATTTATATATATATATTATTCAATATATATATATATTCTATATTATACATTTCTTATATTATATATTATTTATTATTTATTATATAAGTTATATTATATATTTTATATTTTATACTATATTATATATATTATAGTAAATGTATTTTATATTTTATCTAATATATATCATCTATATTTTATGATATATATATATATATTATCTATATAAGAATATATATATATTATTTTATTCCATTTTAATAAATATCAAATTTTGGGAAACTCTGTTTTCAGACAAGCAGATTTTCTGTGTAAACGTTTTGCGTAATGTGGATTGTACATACATGTACATACAATGGTGAAATTTTAGAACAAGGAATATCTGAATGAATAATCTTAATGAGCAATATAATGATTCACCACTAGGGGATGGGGCACCCTATCTTTAGAGAATTGTAATATGTCTGTGTCTGAATTTGTTTAGGAAAAACCCTAAAATCCACTCCTGATGGAAAAAACCAGTTTCCCAAATGGAAAACAAATAGTTACACCCAATGTTCGGACACAATCATATGAAGGCTCGTGTATTTTTTCGTTGCTGCGGGGTGCTGGCGGGTGATGGCATCGCTCAGTTGGTGGTTTCCCTCTGAAACAGTACCAGTAGGATCCAGTAGGTCAATGACGGTGCCCTCCAGAAACTCCCCAAGACTCGCCGAAGATGACCGAACTTAATGGTGCATTGTCAGGAGTCATGGTGGCTTTGCAGGCCACAAGAACTTCATTGCAAATGTTGTGAAGGATACAAGACTCCATTGGTGGTGGCTTTTACGGAATAGATCGGAATAGCGATATTATATTGATATTCGATCCTGCCTTGAGAAGCTTCATGTGTATATATATATACATACAGTGTATTTGTATATATAAAGAGATATCACTCTTCGAAAGTAAGCAATGACAATAGATAAGTTTACCATTTAGATACTGGTGATACTGGGTTCTTGACTTGGCTGTGGCAAGCTCTTGTTTTTGACTTGCTGTCATTCCATCAACTCAACCATCGCATCCCGGCAGTGGTCGCAACAATTTCTGGTGTGACAAATGATGGAAACAAACATTTGCTTTGCTAACATGGCTAGCTTTTCTGTTGTGTTTTGTTCGCAACTTTGGTCCAAAAAGACAACAACTTCCCACAATTCTCCCGGGTCAGTGCTGACTGTTTTCTCCACTGCAGTTTCCAGTGCTGCGTGGTGGTGAATTGCTTCACTGGCAGGCAGCAACTGACTCTCGTGACATGCGATGACTGGGGTCATGGTTTGGCCACAGGGAAGATCATCAGGTGTGAACCCACCACAGATTTAGGAGCAGTGTGAGAAATGGAGGGATCAAAGGTGTCAGACTGTTAGTCAGACTAGTGATGGTCAGCTAAAAACTCTTTGGGTTTCTTTCAAAATAAAACATATTAAAACCAGATTCTACCAGCTTATCGTAACTTTTCCTCCATTAAAAATGATGACATCTGTCCTCCATTGGGGCTCTGGTGATGTTTCAGAAGATGTTCAGAGGCCATGGTCAATGTCACTGCCAACCTTCTGGGTGTGGCGACTTTAGAGCCTTGTTTCGACAGCCTGGAAATGGACGTTGAAACAGGACCTGTCGCGGGATATGTTGCCAGCAAAGCTATTAGTGGGGTATGAAAACTAATCGTTCTACAGTATGCGGATCCAATGTGATGATATATATATACGTATATATGATTATATGTGGTATATAGAGATAAGATTATAATGATTAAATCTAATTGAATATGTATGTATGACATTGTATGATCAACAATGTGATTCTGGGTTTGTCCAAAACAAAAATTGCGGCGAAACGACCCCCAATATTTGGGGAAAATGATCATGGGAGTTGGGATAGCCGGATAGCCTGTTCCTGTCGGCGGATCCTTTGGGTTAGCTCAGGTTCCCCATTTAGAAGTGGTCACATTGTGCTTGGGGAGGGGTCTTTGGGGAAAAAAACATGAGGGAATTGTAGTCTGTTCTGCAGACTTTTTATATTGTTTAATCATGTTTAATCATGTTCAATCGATCTTGAATAGAATTGCATGCGTATCAGAGATGCATGAACCAGGTTTGCTCCATTTCGTGTGAAGTACAAAGTCGCGTGTTTTTGTTTGGTTTCATACATGGCAAACAGCAGCTTTGGGGCAGATGCAAAACATGCCCCTTTCACAAAGCTGATCATTGCAAGATACTCTCTGGCAATTTAAGACGGCTACGGAAAATCACCATGCTTAAAAAGTATTTCATCTATAAATGGACTATTTGCCACTTCGAAGTGTTAAATTTCCAGAGTGTAATTCCTTATAATTCCTTAAATTTCGGGTGACCCTCAACTTAGGCGTTGCCTTATGCAATGGCAGAAGCTGGATTCATTTTCAGTTGCATTGTGAGGAGGCCTAGTTCCCCACAGTTCCCATTACGTTCCACTAACTGCAGCATGGTTTGTTGGTGGCCCCTTAGGCCTTGCTAGTGGCAGTCGCCCTGTCCTGTCTTTTTCGCCCCAACCAGCAGCGATGGTTTTTCTGGCGGATTTCCATTGCCTCGATCCGCCAGGTCAAGGCGTCCTATAGCACTTGGAAGGTGCTCCAAGCATGGCGAGTAAGTGTGATCTTATTCTGTGGTTCAAACCTCCAAATTTGTTGGTTGATCGGTTGATCTTCCAGTTTTTTTTTACATGCTATACCCATGATATCTATTGATATCTCATTTTAGTTCAGTTTATCATATGTGAAAAAAAATGCTGCCTGTTTTATCGTCCCCATGATATTCCCATATATATATATATATATATCCATAGTGCATACAGTTGATCCCCATTCTTAATCACATCCATCATCCGTCATTAGAGTTGGTACAATGGAAAATATTTTGCATTCTATCTGACATTGACATGTGTTCTATTATTCTGAGATTCTATCTGGCATTCTGTGTGGCACTCTATATCTGACATCTGGTGCTCACCATTGAGGTCCGGCAGTGCCCACTGACATCTGGCGCTCGCGGTTGAAGTCCGGCAGTGCCCACTGACATCTGGCGCTCGCGGTTGAAGTCCGGCAGAGCCCACTGAGATCTGGAGCTCATAGTTGAGGGCGTAGTCTGAGGCTGCCGGAGGAGAAGGAGGAAGGAGGAGGCGGAAGCAATTCTGATAAAATCTAGAGACCCTCACCTGGCAGGTGGGGAAATGCGGAAACCCACCCAAAAAAATGATAGATCATTTCTATTTTAAGAAATAAACATCGAATTTCCGGTGAAGCGTTCCCGATGGAATGCACCGAGCCGGGCGATCGCCAGATGTTGGTGGAGCTAAGTGCCTTCGATGGGATCGCAGGTGGGAGCAGGGGATGATGCAAAAATGATGACAGAGCCATGAGTGTTATCCTCAAGTCAATTAACATGACGACCCCGCCATGTTTATCAATTGTCCACTGAAAACGGGTGATTTTCAAGGTCTATGTTAATTTACCAGAGGGCGACAGGAATCAATAAACAATGATATGATATGATATGATATGATATGATATGATATGATATGATATGATATGATGGTAGAGTGTTAGTATGTATTAATATGGGCAAAATATGAATGAATATGAGCATACATAATTCATGAAGTCCCCAAGTCTGATGGGTAGTGTACCCTATAATTTTGACACGTATCCACCGAGTATCGCGTCACTGCCAAAGGTCGCATCTCTTACCCCGAGATTGGGCGAAGAGTTCTGGGTGTGGAGGTGACACTGCCCACTGACGGTGACGAGTCGGTGACGGATTTCTATAAGTGTTTTTTTTTGGAAGAACAGAGCAAATCAGTTGTTTGTGTTGCCAATATCAGGTTGTTTTCCTTAAAAAGTGGATTTTGAAATCTTTGGTTCCTCACTCTTGGAAACAATTTTGAACTAATTACAAAAAGTTTGAAGCCAACAGTTTACTTGAGGATTCTCCGGTAGTAAGGGTATTCATATGTATTCATAATCCGGTAAAATAACAAGGTTGCTTCCAAAGACGAAAGATTAACCTTTGTAATTTGTATGGCCAAAGGTTAATTTAGCCTAAGAAAACATTGTTTTTACTGTATGTCTTTAAGTTTGTACATTTATATGTTACCCCAGTGCAGTGTGGCTTGGAAACGGAAGCTCATTTTGGTCCACATGTTTTTCATGTTTTGATCTGGTGCTCCTCTGGTGCTTATTGATACAGTGCTTGGGCGCTACACAAGGTATACCCCCAAGCGACCATTTCTATCCTTTTCTGGGTTCAGCGGCGCAGGGACATTTGGCGGTTTTGGTTGCCTATGTCCTTTACAGTGGAGGAGTCCATGTCGTGAATACAATGCAGTGCTGTGTTTCCGTTTTCACCCTTACCTGCTGGTTGGCTTGGAGGTTGGAATCCTTGTTATTGTCCGTCCTATTTGATATTAACCCATAGGATCCATGTATGGTATATATACTAACATATACTAACATTGGGGGTATATTGATGGTAAATGTTACCATATATACCAGCACCATGGATCCTATGGGTAATAATCCCCATTGACTTTCATATTCCTTCCGGCCATTGAAAATATTGAAACCACCAATCAGTTGAAGTCAAATGGATCGACTATGGAGGACTGCTGGTGTGTCAACTCTGTGCACTCTCAGCACGGAGACTAAGAGGGTCGGTTTTTGACACAACTGAGGACTCCCAAAAACCCCGGTTGGTTGATGATGTTGATGAGTATATGGGATCTATATGGGATCTATGATGATCATACTACCCTTTAAAAATAGTGGGGGTTATCGGATGTGGGATGTTTTTGTTGGTCAGGGATCTGAGGGATCCGAATTCACGACGGTGCGATGTACATTTGTGGTTTGATATATCTTGGGATGACCACATAAACAGGAAACCTTGCTTTGGAATTGGTGGCAGCGCGGATGTTTGAATGTCATGGGACAGACAAACTAACTATGATACAACATATAGTTGACTTGGATACTTGGATTCTTGTTTTTTTTGTGAAGCGTTGCTTGGAGTCAAGATCCCAAGATCCGCCCCAAGCTGTCGACCTCAGGATGTACTGCTGATCTTCCTCCCCGACTGGCAAGGCAGGGCGGGCTACGATTACTTGCTGTTGAGGTTTGGACCGGGCACCGGAGAAGAAGTCAACGTGGGTCTGGTTACGCAGCCGCACTGGAATTTGATAGAATTCGCCATTTTCTTGCTTGAGTTTACTGGAGTTGTTGAAAGATGTTGAATATTGAAGCAGAAGGTGGCGCAGAATCTCATGATGACTGGCTATCAGCTGTGCAGCCATTTTGGTTTGAAAGGTGAAATGAATTGTAAGAGTGTTGCCTGAAGAAGAGGATGCGTTTTGCGGCGCTGCGCCGTTGCTGTGCTCTTTACTCTTTGCTTTTCTCATGTGAAGCAGCGCAGCCAATACATTCACGTCGTGAGGCCGTTGTGACTTCGGAGGGACAGGCGATCGCCACATCTCTCCTTCGATCTGAAGCGGACAGGCAACGGCTACAACGGCTACAACCCAAGCCGCGGCTGGCTGCATGTGCTGGGGCCAGATTGGAATGCACGCCACAGCTCTCTGCCTCAAACGTAGATCCCTGCAGCGGCACGGACTGCAAAGCACATCATGCGTGTATGGGAATGGGTTTTCAGAATTGTATGATCAAGGTGATGGGACCAGGACAGAGGGCAGGGCTTGCGGCGTGCTGGGAGTGTGACTGCTGTTGAGTTGTTGTGGCCATATTTGAACATATTTGGTCTACTTGGTCTAGTCGCTGTTTGGAAGTTTGCAGGTAGTGAGGTGTGAAGTCAAAATCCGTCGCATGCTGGAATGAAGCAATGGGAGAAGGTGGCAAGCATTTTGAAATAATGTCCACTATAGATCACTGTACTAAGTCGAGACTGGTCAACATATGTTATCTTAGTGATCTTCATCTTTTTTCAAACATGCTTGCAAGAATCCTGAACAAAGGATGCTTGGTTGTTCAAGTTCAAGCCTGGAGGAGCTGTATGTGAGTCAGATCCGAAAGGATGCATGCCTGCGTGCGAGGGCCAGCGATCTAGCAATGCCACATGTCACACTTTGCCACGAGGAATGTGCAAAGGCTCATATGTAGTTATCGACGCTTGGCCTAGCAGAAATGGAGGATTCGGCTGGGTAAAACATGGTAAAACGATGTCCGGACAACCCTGGGATGAAATGGATTGAAATGGGGTAGCTCATTTTCCGAGAAGCCCCTGTGAAGTGAAGAGGTTCAAGACATTTCGATACCACATCATGGTTTCTGGCTCGCGTCTAGTGTCGAGTGGAAAGGGTTTTGCCATTTGTTGATCTGTTGAAAGCAAAAGATTGCACTTAATATCAGTTAATAACATATTCATGTAATAACTTGTAATAACATGTAATAGCCTGTAATAACATGTAGTAACATGTGATAGCATGTAATAACATGTAGCAACATGTAATAACATGTAATACTCGTAACATGTAGTAACATGTAATAGCATGTAATACCAGTAGTGCCGCACAAGGCGGTGGCGGAAGTTTCAAAAATAGGAAACCTATAGGAGAGGTTGGTTGTTGTGAATCAGGGATGGCAGAGCGAAGCCACTGACGGACCGAAAGGTGCTTGAGGTCTCCTCTCTTTCTCTCTCTTTCTCTGGCTATCTACCTACCTACCCATCTATTTTCTATGTATCTATCTATCTGTTGATCTAGCTGTCTATCTCTCTCTTTCCCTCTTTCATCTCATTACCTATCTACCTATCTACCTATCTACCTATCTACCTATCTATCTATCTATCTCTCTCTCTCTCTTTCATCTGTCTATCTGTCTACCTGTCTAGCTGTCTACCTGTCTATCTATCTATCTATCTATCTCTCTCTCTCTCTTTCATCGGTCTATCTGTCTAGCTGTCTACCTGTCTATCTATCTATCTATCTATCTGTCTGTCTGCAATGTAGTGTAATTGAGTGTCATTGAGTGCAGTGTAGTGTGGTGGAGTGTAGTTGTGGAGTTGCAGGTGTAGTTGTATTTTAGTGGAGGGTAGTGCAGTGTAATGTAGTGAAGTGTAGTGGAAGATGGTGTAATGGAGTGCAGTGGTATTTATCTGTGTAGTTAAGTTAGTCAAGTTAGTTAAGTTAATCAGTGTCTACTTTTTCGACATCTTAACGTCAAAAAAGGCTCAAAACCCTCAGTTTTTAACACTTTTGACTTCGACATGTGCTTCGCGCCACAACGGCGTGCACTTTTTCGACATCTCAACTTCCAAAAGTGGTCCGAGAATGGTGTGTTTTGTACATTTTGACTTGGAAATGTGCTTCGCGCCACAACGGCGTGCACTTTTCCGACATCTCAACTTCCAAAAGTGGTCCGACGCTGGTGTGTTTTGTACATTTTGACTTCAAAATGTGCTTCGCGCCACAACGGCGTGCACTTTTTCGACATCTCAACTTCCAAAAGTGGTCCGAACCTGGTGTGTTTTGTACATTTTGACTTGGAAATGGGCTTCGCGCCACAACGGCGTGCACTTTTTCGACATCTCAACTTCCAAAAGTGGTCCGAACCTGGTGTGTTTTGTACATTTTGACTTCGAAATGTGCTTCGCGCCACAACGGCGTGCAATTTTTCATCTCTCCTCTGGCCAGCTGGCTCCGCACCCGCCGCTTTAGCGAGCCTACTTGTCGACCCTCCGGAGCCACAAATCATTGGAAAAACACAGTGTTTCGCGACTTTCCTACCTTTTCGCGCATCTGTATCTTCTGTCTTCTTACTCTTTCTCTTCTAATCTTCTTTCTTCTAATCTTTCTCTTCTCTATGCCTCTTCCCTGCTCTGCTTTTCATCTCTCCATATTGTCGGAAGTTTGGCTTCTAAACTTCCTTCGATCATGTAGTAACATGTAATAACATGTAATAACATGCAACAACATGTAACAACATATAATAACATGTAATAACCCATATTTGATGAATCAAACGCACAATATCCATTTGACAATGATCAATCAAAATGATTGACCAATCATAAAATATCGGATGGCCCCTCGCACTTTCGCGACCCTTTCGCGTCGCAGCCCCTAGCGGCCTAGCGGCTGCCCAAGGAGAACGTTGCGACACAATGCTTTGCCACCCTGGGCGCCAACGATTCGGAAGTGGAGTGCGAGAATGGATCTCCCTGTGGGGATCCGGAGCGGGACAATCCCTATACAGGCGCTGTGAATGTGAAGGGTGAAGCTTGTGACACCTGTGATTTTTCGATATTTCCTACTGATGTTTTTCTAGAAATGTTTCCTACTGATTCTTTTTTTTGGAATGTTGACGCTACTGATGTTAATTATAATTATATATTATATATATAATAATATAAATAACTAAATGAACAAAAAAATACTTTACTTCGTGTGATCCCCACCCCACCATGACATTTGTTGATTTGTTACTGGCAAATCTTTTGGCATTCTATCTGACATATCTTCTGGCATTCGATCTGGCATTCTATCTGGCATATCTTCTGGCATTCTACCTGGCATATCTTCTGGCATTCTATCTGGCATATCTTCTGACATCCTATCTGGCATTCTATCTGGCAAACATTCTGGCACTTTATCTGGCATACCTTCTGACATCTATCTGACATTCTATCTGGAATACCTTCTGGCATTCTATCTGGCATATCTTCTGGCATTCTATCTGGCATTCTATCTGGCATATCTTCTGACATCCTATCTGGCATTCTATCTGGCAAACATTCTGGCACTTTATCTGGCATACCATCTGGCATATCTTCTGGCATTCTATCTGGCATATCTCATGGCATTTTATCTGGCATATCTTCTGGCATTCTATCTGACATTCTATCTGGCATATCTTCTGGCATTCTATCTGGCCGTTGAGGTCCAGCGGTGCACACTGAGCTGGGCAGGTCCCAGTTTGAGGTCCAGCAGTGCACACTGAGCTGGGAAGGTCCCAGGTTGAGGTCCAGCGGTGCACACTGAGCTGGGCAGGTCCCAGGTTGAGGTCCAGCGGTGCCCGCTGAGCTGGGAAGGTCCAGCGGTGCACACTGAGCTCGGACGTTGGCGAAGAGCTTGGCGAAGAGTTGGCAAGGCAACAGTGGACGTGGAAGTGGAGGCAGAGGTGGTGGAGGAGATGCTGGCGGAGGAGGAACAGGAGGAGCAGGAGGAGGATAACTAGCCGAGGAGGAGGAGGAGGAGGAGGAGGAGAACTGTGATAAAATCTAACAACCCTCACCTGGCAGGTGGGGAGCTAGAAAATATGATAGCTATTGGTCGCCTACCCTTTCCATCCCTTTCCAATTCCTCAGTGCAGGCGCCTGAGCCCGACGGTGAATGCCGCGAGGATCAAAAACGATGGCGGAGGGCGGATGGACTCTGCGCATCCAATGGTTGATGTGTTGGACAGCAACTTCTGGTCGATGTTCCATATCTGGTTGGTGGTTTGGGGAACATGAATTTTATGATTTTTTTCATATATTGGGAATTTCATCACCCCAACTGACGAAGTCCATCATTTTTCAGAGGGGTAGGTATACCACCAACCAGATATCAATCTCATATTCATTTTTTCTAGTGTATCCTAAAAGTAATTATCGATAATACTGTATTATCACATTTGGATAGATTATAACGACCTCACTGCAACCTCACTGGAATGGTGGTGGTTAGTAAGGAGAAGTATCCGCGAAGTATCCCAATAGCTGGCCTTATTTCAGGGTACTGGAGTTGGGCCCGCTAAGGAAGATGGAAAGCCTTATTTCAGGTTAGTGAATTACTACAATTTACTAATTTGCCCAGATAGTATGGATGGAAGAAATCCTGCTATAATGTCATTCTTGTCCATGTGTTGAATTATGGAATCCCAATAGTTGCCAAATCCGTGCAGGGTTTCGCAACCACCCACAGTATCATCAAGAAATATTATATAGTCAATATAGTATCTATGAATCTTCTTTGCATTCTGTAGCCACACCCAAAAAGATGTGGAAGAGTTGGAAACCTGAATATATATATATATATATGAACAATGTGGAAAACATCACCTACCATCCTGAATTCTGAATGCATTGTTTGTCACTTGTCTATCGTTTTTGGTGGTCACTCTATATACGTATATATTATACATATATATATATATACATGTATACATTGCTATAGTACCGTATGTTTATGAAGGAATGATTCTTGTGATGTTTGGGATGAATCTTACGGTAGTTCACTCATTTCAGTTCCGCCATTCAGGTGTGGATTTAAAATGATCAAAAAACACCCTCTTGTTTGGAAGCTCTAGTTGATGGATAGCTGGGGTTGATGGATATTCACCTATATATATCTATTTATGGGTTAAATATCCATTAACCAAATCGCGATGCTCGGTGATGTTCATCGCCGCGCAGGCTGGACACTCTGGTTGGCCATTGCCTTGGCCTCTCCGGGAGTAACTCAACTCAGCCTCGGCAGTTTTACCATGGCGAAATCCTCGAATTGTGGGCATCTATATCTGGGAAAATCATCTGTAAATGGGTGATTAAGGAGGATTAAATGAAGGATTAAATGAAGGATTAAATGGGGGATTAAATGGAGGATTAAATGGAGGATTAGATGAGAATACCACCTATAAAACTAATGGGAAAAAAGCATCTATAAATGGGTGAAAATCCAGCAATGACGGGAAGGTATGTGAAATCAGCATGAAATGAAGATGGACATTAAGTTTTTATTTAATTTATGACTTAACCATACTGAAGCATCATAGATCGTGAACCATAAATATGTGTGAACATAATAAAGTGATTTAGGCACCAAAACAAAATAGACATAAAATAGTCATCAAAAGAAAAGGAGAGCCCACTGTCTCACCATCCCATTGATCTATTTCTACTGAGGTCTTGTGGCCCAAAGCACCAGCTGGACAGCTGATTTCTGTCAGTTGCATCGGTGCTGCCGCGGCTTTGGTGGTCTCGCTCTTGATGGTCAGCACTGCCATTTGGCGAAGTCGTGAAGTCGTTTGCCGAGAAAAGCTGGCAATTTCTTGATGGTTCCTTTAATGGATTTTCTATGGATTGCTATAGCCTTGTATATTGAACAATTCAACACCATTGAAACATATGAAAAACGGTTTTTAAATCGGGGCATGGTCATTGGCTGCCCTATTTTATTGCCCCTGGTGGATCAGAAGCATCTTCTCTCCTTCCCACATGCACCAAACACAAGTCGACCCTTAATAAATATCTATCTATCATGTTTTTCTTTCTTATCTTTTCTTTTCTTATCCTATTTTATTCTATCTTATCCTATCTCATCGTCTCTCATTCTATTCTATCTTATCTTATTTTTCTATTTTATCTTACCTTATCTTATCTCGTACTATCTTATTTTAATTTTCTATTCTATTGTATCTTTCTATCTTTCTATCTATCTTAATCTAATCTAATCTAGTCTAGTCTAATCTAATCTAATCTAATCTAATCTAATCTAATCTATCTAATCTGTCTAATCTATCTAATCTATCTAACCTATTCTAATCTATCTAATCTATCTAATCTATCTAATCTATCTTTCTATCTTTCTATCTGTCTAATCTATCTATCTATCTATCTATCCATCTATCCATCTATCCATCTATCCATCTATCCATCTATCCATCTATCCATCTATCTGTTTGTCTGTCTGTCTATCTATCTATCTATCTATCTATCCATCTATCCATCTATCCATCTATCCATCTATCCATCTATCCATCTATCTGTCTATCTGTCTATCTGTCTATCTGTCTATCTGTCTATCTGTCTATCTATCTATCCATCCATCCATCTATCTATCTATCTATCTATATCTATCTATCTATATCTATCTATCTATCTATCTATCTATCTATCTATCTATATCTATCTATATCTATCTATCTATCTATATCTATCTATCTATCTATCTATCTATCTATCTATCTATCTATCTATCTATCTATCTATCTACGTGATACACATATGTATATGCAGATACGTACAGTATTTACTATGTGACACATCCTGACGTCGAGCCCTTGACACATCCTGATGGCTTGAAGGCAGACCTTAGCAGCAAGAAATGTGCTACAGGCCAACGAAAAGGGATCCAATCAGGGAGCCAATATTAATATGAATAGAGTAAAAAATGTAATATCATAACCCAAAAATGCTATATATGTTTTAAAACATGTTCATAGGCAAAAAATCATCTAATGTGGGAAACCGCCATAAAGAATACCACGACGGGGGATGGCTAAAATCCCACCAGTAAAGATTTTGGTTTGTCCAAGGATAGGGCCCTGAATCCACAGGTGAATCACATGATATCACATGTGTCCTACTAGGTCAGGCAAAATTTAGATTGTCGATTAACATCCCTAATAAATAAAATCGTTGGTCTTTCCCATTTTGAGTGTAGCGCATTCGCAGATTTCAGACTGCAAACATGTCCCAAGTGCGGAGCCAAGGATCTTGGTGCTCAGGCGGGAAATTGCACAGGCTAGCGCAAAACCCACGCGACTTTGGAACTATGCTGAACCATGGATGAAGAAAGTCTGTTTTTCTCGAATTCCGATCAATCCCAGAATTGGTTTTGTGAACATTTACAGGAAACTCAGGAACCACCAGTGTTTGATGAGAAAAACATCGAAAAAACCACAGTTTCTGCAGCGGCCCTGAGAAAATTCCAACGAAATTGGCCAGGCCGGTCCAAATCTGTCCGAGGGCTTCAGGGGCCCTTCCTTCACAGGTGAGCATCCCAGATGCTTTCAGAATCCCAGTTCTTGTAAGACTCTGTAAGGCCCATTGTGATTTTTTTTGATATCCTCTGGTAATTTAACATAGCTATCGAAAATGACCATTTATAGTGGCTTTTCCCATTGAAAACGGTGATTTTCCATAGTTTTTTATATGTTTACCAGAGGGTATCATTCATGACTGGCTCCATGGGGCCCCATGAAAAACTGGCGAGGCCTGCTGAGTAGCTTTGCAATCTTTGTCGCGCAGTTCTCTGTCCAAAGTAGTTTCGAGGCTGTCGGTGTTTGGCTGTCGCTTGTGAATCCCTACCGTAGGTAGGAGCCTTGTAGTAAAGGGGGCCGTGAAAGTGATCCGTTTCCCCAAGCCAACTAAAATTTGGATAAATTTGGGAGATTTAACCCAAGGATACAGGGAAATTTCCTCCAAATTTGGGTTGGTTATCGCAAAGACAGCGTGTGGTAAATCCAAACGCAATGGTGGCATGATGGGATGAAATTGAAATAGTAAATATGATATGGGTGTATCCGGAAATGGAAGACGAACACCGAAATTGTATGAAATTGTAATTTAATTCTAACGATCACCTGCAACGATCTGACTACGTTTGCAAGTTACTTCAAGACTTAAAAAATTATCCAAGAGAAAGAGTTGTTGACCAGCACTGAACTTACTACTCTTTTGCTGGCAACATGTCACTGCTTAAATCTCTCTGGCGTACGGCCTGCTGTCTTTGCTCATTGCATTTTTTCTATGTGCTAGTGCAGAGTTATTCTTACGGAAACCTCCCAATTCCCATCCTGGATGTTTACCTCTTCTAGCAGCTAAAGATAGCTAAAAATCAGAAGTTCCATCAGACAGGAGGCCAACCTGGCCAGGTGACGACAGCTATCGGTGATCTGGAAGAGGCCGATCCATTTGAAGTCATGTCAATGTGAAGTCAGCATTTGGGAAATGGAAATGGTGAGGACATTCCATGGCGTTTTTTTTCCCAGATCCCGACAAAAGACGTGGCTATCTGGAAAAAAACCTCAATGGAGGCCTATGACTGAGAAAATCCATGGAACTAAATGGTGTATTTTCCCAGCAAGCCCTGTCTGACCACTGGATGGTTTTTTTGGGAATGGCCCCATCAGACTCTGTGGATGGTGAAATAGACTGGGGGGTGTTCTGTTCGCGCTTCGCACCAGCGTTTCCCCAGGATTTCGGGGGTGTTCTGGTCCGGGGCCTTCAGTTTGTCGCCATAGCGTCCTAGCAGGTGGTTTCCTTGAGGGGGGCTGATACTACCCTCCGGTAATCAAACATGACAACGGAAAATCCACCATTTAGTTCGATGATTTTCCCAGCTAGCCACATTTGCCAGAGTGTTGCCCTTAGGTGAACTTTGCTCATGCATTCATCTTTGCCTGGTTCTGAGTGGGATCCCATGTTGCAAGGGGGGTCACAACTTCAGAGAATGAACCAATCTCAAAATGAGGGTTTCCTGAAATAGGGGTACCCCTAAATCATCCAGTTTAATAAGATTTTCCCTTATATCTTTTAAACCATCCATTTTGGGGTACCCTCATTTATGGAAACCCTCATATGTCT